ACTCCAAGCTCTTCTTGCCTTGATGGTTTGTGTTGAGAAGTCTGCTGTGATGCTGATGGGCTTTCCTTTGTATGTGATTTGTTTCTTTTCTCTAACTGCTTGTAGAACTCTGTTCTTCTGTTGTGTTTCTGGAATCTTAACAATTATATGCCTATGTGTAGATTTCTTTTAATCAAGGCTAGTTGGTGTCCTATATGCCTCCCTTGTCTGTATGTCACGTTCTTTTCCTCTGCTTGGGAAGTTTTCTGCCATTACTTTTGTGAACAGTTGTTTAATGTCATCTGCACTCTCTCCTGTTTATTCTTTGACTCCAGTTAGTCTTATGTTATTCTTCTTTGCATCGTCTAGCAGCTGCTGGATTGATTTCCTCATGGTCCCTTAAATTTTAAAGCAATTTTTCTTTTCCTGGTCACTAATTGCAATCTTATCTTCTATATCTGAAATTCTGTCCTCACATTGGCTCATTCTGCTTTGTAGACTTTTAATGGACTTTTTAATCTCCTGGAAATCTATTTGCATCCGTTTTATGGATTCCATTTGTTTCCTATGTTGGGATTCCATCATGTTCCTCAGATCCTCTATTTTTTTATCTGTGTCTTCTCTAGATTTTTTAATCTTGTCTTGCACTATGAGCACAATCTCTGCTGTTATCTGAGAAATTATTTCTGATTTCATTTTTTCCAGATCCTCTTGTGTTGCCAGTTCAGGGAGTCCAGGTGGTTGAGTATCAGAGTGTTCTATCTCCTTTCCTTTTGGGGTTGCTGTAGGTGATCCTGAAGTCTGGTTTTGGGACTTGTTTACATGTCTTCTCATTTTGATGGGGGAGGCATGCTATTGCCGCCCGCATAGCTTACCTGCTCTGCGCTGGGAGCGGTGGAATGGTGGCCTGGAAGCCCCTTCCTCTGGGCTGGGAGCTGTGGAATGGTGGCTCAGAAGCCCCTTCGTCTGGGCTGGGAGCAGTGGAATGGCAGCCTGGAAGCCCCTACCTCTCCCTAGTAACCTTTTTGCTCATTTCAAAATCCGTTTTTCTGATATACCCTGTAGTGCAGATTTATATCAACACATGCAAGGACTGTGTAGCTTCATGAACCCTTTAACAGCACTGTGGGTAAAAAACTCAAACAAAAACTGTGATATATAGTGGAGATTATGACATTGTTCCTGTTAGGTGCTATGTCTGAAGGATTGTGGGAACCCAAATGTGCATAGATGGTGATGGGACTGAGGAGAAACCTGTGTGCTTTGAAGGTTGTGCTTTTGCTTTTACGTGGTCAATATTCTGAAGGGATGATTTCCAGAGAATTTAAGTAAACTGTCAGAAGAAGTGGCACCTCTCAGAGGTGCGTCCCAGAAAGAGAATACCATGACCTCAGTCATCATGTTATCAGGGCGAGAACAATTTGGAATCTTCATTGTGGTGGCCTTTGAGCAGCTAACAGTAGTGCCCAAGTCAGCAGCACTTGGATAGAGTTCTTAGTACCAGCCTGGAATCTGTCATTCTACTTGCCATGATAAAAGAGCATCTCTCTCTCTCTGTTTTTTTTTTTTTTTTTTTTTCCTTCGGTACCAGGGATCGAATTCAGGACCTTGTGCTTGCGAGGCAGGTGGCAGCACCACTGAGCCAAATCCCCAGCCCAAGAGCATCTCTTTTTATTCTTTAGGAGTCACCCAATTTTTTTTAGCATATGTTCTGCCAAAATGAGCACAAGGAATCACCCAATTTTTAAACTTAAATACTTATAAAGCTGGTAGGAAATATCTGTTGCAACAGCACCTTTACAATATATGATCCATGTTCAGGTGGAATGTAGGGATGGTAGCTCAGAGGGCTGTTGCCTAATGCTGTTAGGGAGGAAGAGTCAGGATTCATATGTGTTTCATATTTTCTCACAGCTTAGAACTGGGTCTTGCACAGAGCAGGCACTCAGGAAGTATAGAAAATAATGGACTGCTTTTCCGTGCTAACCACCAAAGCATTTTTGTTCCCTTGGCACAGGTCACACACTCTCCTGGTTACATTTCTGCCACTTTCTGTTTCTTCACTAGTCTCAAGTCTGGATGTTTCTTCTCTCTCTGCACCTTAATGCTAAAGTTCCCCAAAGCTTTGGTTCTTAAATCTTCTTAGACTGCCTGCCTTATGAGTCTCAAATCTTTTCTCTCTTGAACACTAGCCCTTATTTTCTCCATTGCCTAACATTCATTTCCTGTTTGATGTCCCCCTAAGCTCACCTTTCTTTCCTCCCCCAAAGTAGCTTCTCTTTTATTCTAGTTCCTCTTTCTACTTCTAAAAACTTCCACTGTTTTTCTCTAGCACCTCAATTTAAAGTCTCAGAAATCATTTTTGATCCCTTTCTACCATCTCTTTTTGCATAAAACAGTCACTATTAGTCCAGCATCTACTTGCTCCTGCTGGGGTTTCTGTGCTCTCCCCACTGCTGTCTGCAGGAAAGGAGAGAAGAGGCTGTGTTGTGTGGAGGGGAGACCACAGACTTTGGTAAGAAGCCCTACCCAGCTGGTTTTAAACCTGAACACCAAGCAACTCACAACCAGGCAACTTGGAGCAAGTTATTTAAATTCTCTGAACAGTGTCAGCTTTGTGTTTGAAAAGTAGGGGATATTAATTCTTATGTTATAGGATTATTATAAATATAAATAAAACAATATTTGTCTGAATGCTAACAGTGTCTTATACATAGTAACTACCCACAAAATGTTGGTTGAAATGTTGAGTCAAGTTTTGTGATATTATATCATTATGTGAATCGCCACGTGGGTTAAGAAAAATAATAGCAAAAGATCTGTATCTGGGTAAAATACATGGATTCTACAGTATTGTTGGTAAAAGAAAAAATACTATGTGTATGTAAAACTATTAGGGCAGTTAAGAACTGAGTTAACAGTCAAATTACATGATAAGAAGCCCTCTGAAGACTCATCTCCTTGGAAGGATGAGTAGAAAAAAAGTGAGTGTACGTAGGCTAATATTCATGCATGTCAATCTGTATTACACCTTGGGAAGTTTTTAGCAATAGATGGACAGGCCCATGTCTTCAAGTAGTAAACAATAATATTCAGAAATCTTAATTTTCCTTATGAATATCTTTTATTAACTCAGAGTAAAAATTTATCTGAGTAGCCTGTGGCCATTTGTCAGTATCAAAATCCCTTTCGTTTTTGGTGGGGAAAAAAATGTTTAAGTTAAAAAAAGTTTTTTTTCTTGGCTTTGGTGTGTTGCCATAGAGAAGAAGGAATGTGAAATACCAGGAAATCAAAGTCCATTCTACCAGGGAGAAAGCTCCCCAAAGTGGGGGCACATCTCCATTGACAACAGCTTTCCCAGCTACCACCTAGAGACAGTTTTCCTGTGTGCCGACAGCAATATTCTGTACAGGGATAGTTTTCACGATCTAGGGCGCAGGCCAGTGCTGTGTTTTTGGTTTTAGTTTTGGTTTTTGTGGTAGTGGGAGTTGAACCCAAGGCCTTCACAATGAGGTACATCTCTAGGCCTTTTTATATTTTTTAAGATGGGGTTTCACTAAGTTTCTAGGTTGCCCAGGATGGGATCAAACTTGTAATCCTTGCTTCAGCTTCTCAGAGTGGTCACTGCAGTTTTAATAATTAAAGCCCCAAACCTATATTGTTGCCTCTGAAATTAGTATTCTTGTTGGTATTGGAGATCCAAGATTTTTTTTTTTTTTTGGTTCCGGGGAGTGAACTTGGGACTTGTGCTTGTGAGGCAGGCGTTGGAACCACTGAGCTAAATCCCCAGCCCTCTTGTTGGTATTGGATATTGAGTTCTTTTTCAGAATGCCCTTCGATTTTTAAGTATCCGGTTTCATTTTAAATGAAGGAAATTTCAAGTAATAGTTTTCAGAGCATAATACAGGCCTTGCCCTTTGGGAATTAAAGAACTTTTAGAAGAAGGAAGAGAAAATAACTGACATGGAGCTAGTTATCAATAACTGGTCTTTAATATTTTAAGCAGCATGTTATTTATACTCCCGAGGAGACTGACAGGCTGTTATAGTGTGGGAAACCAGCTCAGTTGCAATAGCCAAATATGGTACAGGTATGCACAGCAAAAATGCAGTGACAGGGTTGTGGCAGAAATTCGCTTGAGTTTTGAGTTGCTTTAGATGCTCACTTTTGGGGCCTGGCGTTTCTTGCAGTTTTCTTTCCTAAAGTGAATTCTTTACCTTCTCAAAACATGGCTTTTAGGTGTGTGGAGAGTGAAATTGATTGGTGTATCTTTCAAGACCTCAAGATTCAATTGAAATGATGATTCTGTGGTGTTTCTAGGTTTGAAACAATTTAAGTTTTCAAATGACTGTCATTCAAATCGTAGTGAGCATGAATTGCTTTCAGAGTTAAATTTGGTCTCCCAGATTTGATGCATAGTCTCAATTAAATTTTTGTCTTAAGCCCAAGTGTGTAGCAAATTGATTAGAGCACATGCTTAGCATACATGAGGCCCTGGGTTCAAGCCTCCAAAAATAATAATAATACAATAATAATAATTTAAATAATAATATAATTAATAATTTAAAAAGTCATAATTTTAGTTGTACAGATAAGCATAAAGATAATGTCTACTTGATTTTAACTTCATAGCATAAAGTTAAAGTAGATCAAAATATCACCAGGCAACAGAAGCAAAGCTTTTGTTGTTGTTGACAATTGTCTTAGACATATTGTGATGGTGAGAATGTAGAGGGAGGGCTGGTGATGAAGGGGAAGTATTCAGTCATTAGCGGAAACAAGGGTGAGACATTTTGCCAGGGTGGACTTTCAGAATGGAATAAGCAGGAAAAAGGAAATGGTTCTCTATACATATTGTTCACAGCCATGTGTATGTGAAGACAACAGGTGTCATGTTCCAAACAGAAAGACAGTTCTGATTCTAATGAAAGGTCAACAGGGTAAAAAGAGCACAAAAACAAAATGAAAAGCAGTATCCTTTGAAAAGGAAACTTACATGGATAAAGTAACATAATTTCTGTTTATTGTAGACCCAGCGCCAAGCACAGACAATAATATTCAAATAGCTGTAAGTGCTTTATTGTCATTCTTGGACGTGGTCATTGTTAGCGCCCTTCTGTCCATTGATGCTCAGGAGAGGGTGACTTACGGTGTCCACACTGCGAAACCTACCCTGCTTTCCCTCTGGCTGTGGCATTTCCTTAATTCACATCATTACATCTGTTACTCTTTGAAAACCAAGTAATAACTGAGATGGTGATTTGTGGGATTCATGTTTTCCAGAGAAAGGACAGGATCCTGTAATCAGAGAAATATCATTCATGTGATTACCACATATGTTCTAGTCTTGGTTATCTAGATTGGAAATAGGTATACTGGGGTGGCTTGGGGCTGAAGTTTTAAAGCCTAGCCTGATTCTCCCTGACCCATCTCTGAACGATCATCTGTATTCTTAATTGATATATGTTTTCAGTGAGTGGAACATGAAACCATATTTTAAAATTAACTGAAAGTTTTGCAGTTAGTAAATACAACATATAATAAATAAAATGAAGCTAAGTACACATAATCTTTTTTGTCACTTCTCTGCTACTTTGCCACAATAGTGGTTGCATATGAATCTTTATATATGGATTTGAGTTTGGGCTAAGCACTTTTATATCCATAACCTCATGTTAGGTAGGTCTTAGTATCTGTGTTTTAGAGCTACAAAATCTAAGAGATTAAATGCCTTACCTAAAGTCATAGAGATGATGTTTAGACAAAGATGTGATTTGAACCCCGGTCTTCTGACTCCAAAATTGTGCCCTTTTTTATGGCATCGCACAGTCATTGAGTAGCTCAATCTGTTATAAAATTTTTTTCTATAAAGTTTTCTGAGTCCCGTGTTCCATTATTAAACAAACCTATACACTAAAAATAAAGATATATATTACAGTATAATTTTAAAAAATACAATATGCACTAATAATATAATCACATATAGAATAGGGTATATATTCATTTTATATATTTTAAGGAAAATAGTTTTCATAAACCAAATACTAACCAAGTAACAACAAATCTTAACATTGAGTTTCGTAATATGGACATTGCTAAGTTCCATAATCAAAATAAGACTCTCTGAAAGTAAAACCATAATAAGTGACTTAGTTTGCGCATTTCTTAATTTAGGAATTCAAAGAGGGATACCAGTACTTGAAGCCAAGAGAAATTTATCCTACAAATTTAGACTACCAGAAATGTTTTGATTATGTTAAACTACCTTGTTTTGTCTTGAGATGAGGAAGTAGATATAGCAGGTAGGTCTTATTCAGCTGAAAAAGATGGAAGATGAAGCAAAATGATACATGTGGATCTGGTAAAAGCCTGTACCTCCGCAGCCCCCCTAGACAGGGCAGGGACAAAGGCAAGAGTCACTGGGCAGGCTCCACTCTGGCAAGGGCAAGAAATCTCAGGCTGCCATGATTGAATCTGTGATTTCTACTTCTAAATGAGCAGGCCCTTTCCTCTGAGAATTTATTCTTTTTAATTGAGTGGGCAAAAAAACAAAAATAAAGTTTTCTTTTAGATGTGGCTCAGAGGCTAGATTTGAAAATAAATGTTGGCCATTACCTTATCAGCTACTATATGGCCTTATTTTTAAACATTCTTTCCAGGAAGAGTCTGATTATAGCACAGAGGCCCACAGGAGACAAGTGGGGGTAGGAGAGTGGATTGTGGCCTGAGGCACTTACTTGCTGGAGAAAATTGCTGCCAGATGAGTGGTTTCAGAAAGCTAAGGCTGCTGATGTGGTCTGTAGTGGGTTCAGGATGAAATAAACTGCATTTCCTCCTGTCCTTAATAAATACTTGCTGGAGAGCTGATGGGTTTTTGTATGCATGTGTGTATCCTTTTTCTGTTGGGGAAATTGCAAGAACATAGCAGCATCCTGTGGTAAAATACATGAAATACAGGCTGAGGGGACAGATGGATGGAGAAGAAATGTGCCTGTGTCTGTGGCATTTTTGAATTATGATGACATTCTTGGCAACATGGGTTTGCTAAGTCTGTGGTGATTAATTCAGTGCCCATGAGGAATGTGTGGGACCTAATGGGAGATAAGCTGTGCCATCAGTAGCTTTTAATCTAAAAAATATTTATTCCCATCGAAGAGGCCGTGAATGCTTTCACAGGGTTAAATTGTATTTTATTTTAGGTTAGTACACACCCTGCAAGCATTACAGGGAGAATAAATCTGAGTGAACAGAGGCTTCTTTGCATGACTTCAAAAGCTGTGATAAATGATTCTCCCAGTTCCATAGCTGCTGCTCTGGTCAGGTGCATGTATTGAGGTAGTGAGACTGGGCATAGTTTAATGCTGTGTTTCCAACCAAAAGACAGGAAAGATCTCAACCTGTAATTGTTAATTCTACAGAAATATGAATATAGAACTTTCTGGAAAGATGTTCCTGTGATTCTCTCTTCAGAAGGAAATTTAAATATGGCTCTAAAATAATAGGTTTGTCTTGTTAACATTTTTGTCCATCCTCACTTTATGAAATGGTGTATTAATAAATATTATATAGCCACAAATTACATTTCAGATTGTTTATTTGCTACTAGTTCTCTTTTCCAAAGGTAGTGTCTACAGAGCCCCTTTAAAAATTTTTTTATTATACGTAGATATTAATAAAGAAAATGTAAAAGCCGTTCTATGAAAAAATGAATTTTCATAACAAAAGTTATTAGAAAATAACAGTGGTAAATACATTGTGCATCATGATCTTAGAAACCTTTTTAAGAGCTTGAAGAAAGCCAGCAGGGTGCCAGGAAGTGCCAGGTGCCAGGAAGACCCCTCCAGCCAAAAGAGTCCCACTGGGTTTCTGCGAGCAGGAGAGGGCAGAGATGTGAGAGGACATGGAGAGAGGCTGGTGGTCCCTGTTCCCCTCTCCAGTCCCTCCACCCCAGCCCAGGAGAGAGTGTCAGGGATCCCAGCACCCTATTTTCTCCCTCCTCCTAACTGGGAAAATGAGCCAGCTGGTGCTTCCAGTACCAGAGACCCCAAAGGGATCTCAGTCTCCCTCCTTCTGCTGGACCTTCTTAGAGAAACTTCTTCTCCTTCTGGCCCTCTCTGGAAATACACAAGGTTTTATTGTTTTTTCCTATGTCGAGTTACTTGGGCCTGGATTAGGAGTGCTATCAGGGTGTTGGCAGAAGAGGGCCCAGGCCAGTAAGGTTCTTTGCATAGCATATCACCTCCTTTTTGCATTTCCTTCCTCTCTCCCTCCCTTCCTCCTTTTTGTGGTGCTGGATATCAAACCTAGGGCCTCACACATTTCTAGGCAAGGGCTCTGCTACTGAACTACATCCTCAGCCCTGGCACCTGCTTCTTAAAAGCTCATCAGTTACAGGTGCCCTTTGGTTACCCAGATTCCTGCCCCTGGCATGCGTGCATGTGTGTGTGCATCTGTGCATGTGTGTGGGTGAGACTTAAGTAGTACCTGTGTAGCATACAACAGAGAAGTGCACAGGTCACAAGTATTCATCCCCCCAATGAGTTTTCACAAACAGAAGCACCTATGTAACAAGTGTCCTGGTTGAATTTACTCTTATAATGATGTTTCTTTCCTAATTATAAAAGTACCTATAGGAATTAATTTGGAAAATAAAGCGAAGTGTACTAAAGAAAATAGGAACCACTCATTTTACCTTTACCCCAAAATTACCATTAATACCTTAGTGTATTTCTCCAAATCTATTTTTATGTGTGCCTATAAATACACACACACAAGGCAACCCCAGAAGCTTTATGCACATGTTCACAAACTCTCAGAAGAAATCTTAGACAGGTGCAATCACATGACATACACATTTTTAGTTGTTTCATTGTGTGGCTGTTGGCTACATCGCAAAATGGCAGGGAAAGTCAGGGAAACTGAAAACCATTTTTTCCTTTATTTGGCAGCAGGAAATGAGCTTTTTTCACTAAATATATATTTTTAATGATGTCATACTTATTTTTTTCTTACAAACTAGCAAAAAAAAGAATAGAATTTATTCTGACATGTTTCATTTAATACTACAATATTTCATATTCAACCAGAAATATATAAGCTGACTAGGAAAAAAGTAAAAGTTCCATCTGCCTCATGAAGTGATACATTTCTAATGTTTAATAATTGTACATATACTTATTTTTGTTGATTGTGTGCTAATGATTGCTTTTTAACCTTTAAAAAGTTTTATTACTTTTTTCTTTCCATATTCTTATTAATGCATATTGGTTATACAGGTTTCATTTCAGCAGATTTGTATATGAACAAAATGAACTTCAATCATTGTACTCCATGCCCCTTGACCCCACTTACCCCCTAGTCTCACATGTTTCCTGGGGGCCTTCATTGTATATAATGTAGTTTGATCATATTCATACCCCCTATTACATATCTACCATTATATCCCCTCTTTCTTCCCCTGAAAAAAGGATTCTTGTGGGGGAAGAGGCTGAAATAAATAGCTAATATATAAATAAAGAATATTTGTATATTTCATGAATCCAGTATCTTTTCCATCTCTAGAATGCTAATGAGTTCAGAGCCTTCTGGGTGGAGATCCTCTTCATGAGAGATAGGGCCAAACCTCAGCTCAAACTTTGTTGACTGCTCTGTAGAACTAAATCCTGGTCTCCAGGCTCACTTTGCCAGCGGCCATTTTTACTTTTTTTCTTTTACTTAGCTCCCTTGCAGACACAGAGACAGATTTCAATTGTAGCAGCTCTTGATTTAACAAAAGGAAGCTGAGTGAAAACATTAGAAATTGGCCCAGTGGTTTTTGTGAATTATAGCAAAATTCTCTTCTCCCTTAAGACTAACGTGGATGAAATGATCCCTTTGTGGTACTCGTTGCTTTAGTCTTAGCTGAGTTTCCTGTACAAGTTGTCAAGAGGAAACAGTTGACACCTGTATTAGTTTTCTTTAACTCTAACAAAACTTCTGATACAATCAGCTTAAGAAGAAGAAAGGTCAATTTTGGCTCACAGGTTTATAGGTTCAAAGTCCAATGTCACTTGACCCCATTGCTTTGGGGCCTGTGGTGAGGCAGCACATTATGGTGGGGAGTGCCTGCTGGAGTGAGCTGCTCACCTCATGGCAGCCAGGGAGCAAAGAGAGAGTAGAGGAGACCAAGGTCCCATAACCCCCCGAGGGCACATTTCCAGTGACCTGAGACCTCCACTAGGCCCCACCTCTTAATGACTTCACCATCTTCCAGTAGCACCGCATGCCGAAGACCAGCCCTCCAACACACATAAGCCTTTGGGGGATTTTTAAAATCCAAGCTATAGCAGCACTAGCTTTCCATTGCTGTTGGTAGTGTGGTCCATCTGCCTCCAGGCTGGTCAAGAGCTCAGCTTCTGCAGAAGACTTGATGGCATTCCTTGTGTTGGAAAAGTTGTTTCCCTGAAAACTCCACATCTATTTATTTATTTACAAGTGACACATAGGGTATAGTGTGACAATTCAGTGTATGCAGGGAAAGTGTTCTGATCAAGTTGTAACTAGTAATTAAATAGTTATCATTTCTTTGTGTTGGAAGCATTTGAACTCTTCTAGTTTTATGTTTAAATATATAATAAGATGTTGTAAACTGTGGTCACCTTACTATGCTATAGTATAGTAGAATTTATTCTTCATATCTAAACTGTATTTTGGTACCCACTATCTAATATGTTTCAATACCCACCGTTCTTTTTGTTAATATACTTTGTGTTGTTACACATGTGTGATTTGTGTTACCACATACACAGAAAATAAACTGGACTCTTTATATTTGTAAAATATTTTCTTGGATCACTCCTTTTTCCTTTCTTTTCCAAAACATCTTCACAGAAAGTATGAGGTAGCCTTTCTGTTTACGTGTGTTCTTGTATTGTCTTTGCAGTCGAAATCAGCTGTCTGCCCTGCCTGCCTGCCTGTGTGGTCTGCCTCTCAAAGTCTTAATCGCAAGTAACAACAAGCTCGGATCACTACCGGAAGAGATAGGTCAGCTCAAACAGTTAATGGAGTTGGTACGTTACTGATTTCTTAGATGCTGTTTGTGTTTGTTGACTGATCATAGCCCATCAGAAAGACCTTTTGCTACAGTTGGACAAGGAAGAGCCTATATTAGTCCATTGCCAATTACTGTAACAAAATACCCAAGGCTGGGAGCTTTATGAAGAAAAAGGGTTTATTTTGCTCACAGTTTTATAGGTTGAAAGTCCAAAATCAGGTGGCCTCATGTGTTCAGCCTCTGGTAAGGGACCCCTTGGTTACATCACAGCACATTGATGGCATTGTGATGGGAGTGGATATGAAGGAGAGATTACATGGTAAGACAGTAAGCTAGAGAGCAGGGAAGGACCAATATTGCTCTTTTTTATAATAACCTACTCATGAGAACTTCCTGGAGTCCCATAAGATCTGTTAGTCCCTTATAAGGGCAGTGCCCCAGTAACCTAACCACCTCCTGTTAGGCTGTACCTCTTAAAGGTTCTACTGCCTCTTACCACCACTAAACTGGGGACTAAGTGTCCAATATATGAACGCATGGGGGACAAACTACTTCCCAACCATAGCAGAGCCTATGGTGTTTGAGGGCAGTATATGATAAACACATTAAGTAGGGAGACATGAAACCAATACCTGCGGCTTTGCTGTGACACAGTTCCTGAAATTTACAAGTTTCCTGTAGTTTATAGTTCCTGAAGTTTGCAGGATTTACAGTTCCTGGTTTACAGATTATTGCATTATGGTTAGATGATTTTTTCAGATTGCGTATACATTCATGAAAAATTACGGCTAAGCTAGAAAAATAAGCTGCAAATAAATTAGGGGGTCACATTTTGATGAAGTTATATAATTAAGTTAGAGAACCGAAAGAACACAGTGTGATGATTCTGTTAAGATTTGGGGCCTGCCTAGAACAGCACTGTCTCCAGTCCCAGGGCACACGAGCTGCTGGATTTGGTATAAAGACACCCTGAGCTTCTCTTAGCATCTTGTCCTGAGCCCAGCTTCTATTAGAATTCTGCCCTGCATCCTAGTTACCTAGTTACCACAATGTCCTCACTGTGACCTTGTGTTTTTTCTCTGCCAGCAATTGCCATGGGACCCTGAACTTGTAAAATGTTAGAGCCATAGAGAATTTACAAAGGCATCTAGTCCAACCTGTGGACCTCTTGTCCAAATGAGAAAACCCAGGGCAGAAAGACAATGAGTGATATGTGGAAGATCACCATGGTATCGCTAAGTGGTGACCTAAACAAGACACCCTTTCCAGCACTGAACAGTGGAAATACGCTATGAACAACAATGTGATTTCAAACGTAGTGGTGACAAAATTTAAAAACTAAAAGGAGCAAGTGAGATTAATTTTAATATTATTTAACTCCAAATAGCCAAAATATTATTATTTAAACATGTATAGAATTAAAAATATTACTGTGACATTTTGCATTCTTTTTTTCATGGTAACCCTTGGAACTCCAGGTGTTTCACACTGACAGCGCATCACAGATTGGACTTGCCTCCTCTCTGGCGCTGAGCAGCTGTGTGTGGCTGGTGGCCATCCTGCTAGACACTGCCTCTCTGTGGCCTGTGCTCTTCCTGCTGAACAGCCCCCTGCCTCTGAGCAAGTTTGCTCTTTGTAAAAAGTATTTATTTGTATAGTAGGGGACTACTTAATCAGTTGACATTATTTAACTACAGGGAAGTGATGTGAATGATGTTGGTTAAGGTCACCAACTAAAAAAAGATTACTTTCCATTCATTCTCATTTATCTTTGACATCATTTTGCTTAAAGTAATAGCATTACTAAGGTATCTATGTCAGATTATTTTTAGTTATCAATTGGAAAAAAAATTCCTTGGAGAGCTTAGTATCATTCTAGGATCGCTATGGGAGGCTTTTGTTTTGTAGGCACATATTACCAGTTTGTTAAAAAACTTGGGAGCTCCCCAAACACTCAGAATACTTGAGCCACCTAGTGCTTCAGTGCTCCAGAATCCACTTAGCTTGTTAGATTCTAAGCATTGTTTGCTATTCTGAAAAGTTACTTTTTAAATTTTTACATCTGACCCAAATTCTATCCAATGTGGGTGAACATTCCAGAGTTAACTTAAAAAACAAGACCAGAATACCTTAGCCATCTATGAAAAAGCAGTTTTCCTTCCCTATTTTTGAGAGGAAGTAGAACTAGAAAACATTATCTTACTTTTTTAGCCGGGTGTGGTGATACACACCTGATTCCCAGCACTCAGGAGGCTAAGTCAGGAAGATCACTGTGAGTTCCAGGCCAGCTTAGGCTACATAGTGAGACTCTGTCTCAAAAAAAACCTCCCAAAACAAAACCATTATCTTACCTTGTAATTGTGTCACAGTTAATCTAAGAATCTTAAAACAAAAAGGGTGTCTGGTTCAGTCACTGGCTGGTGTAGCCATTTGAGATTACACAGGGAGTATGGAAAAGTGGATGTTCCTCCTCCTGTGAAGAAGCCCCTGAGAAGCACTACTGAGATGTCTTCTTGAATAGAGAGCAGTGGCCAGGTTGTATTTCCAAGCTGGGACAGGAGAATTTATGGAATCCTAGCTCTGGAGCTGGTCCTTTCAGCATCATTTCCAGTAGGAATAATCTAAAACTTTCTCACTTCCTTGGCTACTGTGAATGCTTCTGCCCCTGTAGCCTCACAGCTGTGGTATAAGTGTGTATTGCTTTGTCAGCCTGTCTCTCTGTGTGTGCTTTCTGTAGGGTAAGAGATAGAGTGACATGTATTATTTCATATAATAACCCAGCAAGGCTGGTATCATGTTTACATTTTGAAGATGAGTTTCAGTTTGAGAATTATGTACCTAAAGCAGTGGAATTACATGGTGGAGCTGGGATCAGAACCCGACTGGTCTGATGAAAGTCTGCAGCCCAGAGCAGCAGCGTCTCCTCAGCGAGGCTGTGTAGTGTCTCATGGAGAGGGCCCCTGATTTCTTTCTCTGGACCTCGCTGACTCACCTTGCTGTGCTTTACTCATATACAGTAGTTGGTGCAAGCCATGAACACTGAAAGTAAATAGGAGAATGACCCCCAAAAGGGTTCAGAATGAGTGGGCATATTGTTGAAAAGTTTTCTTACTGGGGAGCCAGGTTAGGTGGTTAGGTGTCTGAGGGCTTCCCTTGTTCATTATCCTCATTCTGGCCATTAGAACCTTCTAGACATACTGGAAACAGGACCCTGTCCTTATGAAACTATGCTATGGATATGGTATATTTGGTAAGAGGCGCTGTATACACACCACATGGTTTAATTAACAGGTAGTTGTGAAAACAAACACACTGAGAACACAATAAATGACAGCTTTTTATGGGGCATTTTTTTGCCAAAGATTGAAGAGTCTTCTCATTGGTTCTGTGTACATGGTGCCATGCTGGGGTGCACAGACGGCCTGGCCCTTATTTGTTTTTTCTCAATTCCATCCTCCCCCAGTTCCTGCAGTGTGAACTTTCGCTCTTACTTTCATGTGGGAGAACCCAGAGTCACTGGTTTAGAAACGCCTTTACAACCAAAAAAACTCACCAGGCCTGCCTCAAGTAATAACTGGTTGGAAGGTGCATTTCCTGGCCCTAACTAGACACACTGCTTTTTATTCACTCTTCTGGAATGTTTGGTTGTGTGGAGAGTTTGAATTCAGGGATCAGTTATAAACATGATATATTGAGCAGCTTTTGAGAAAAATTTCTTCTTCATTATTTTTATGTGTAGCCTTCCAATCTCTGAGGTAGGTCAAGGAGATGATGTGTCTGGCATAGTTATTTGTCCATTTGTAGTCTCTGGAGACTCCATGGTTTCTGTGAAACCTTGGGAAATCCAAGGCTTCTGAAGCCCCCTCTGTTCCTTCTATTTCTGCCTTTCACATGAAGAGAAGGGAAGTGGAGCATGTGTTTATGGGCACGTGTACAGGTTTTACACTGGAGAAATACTACTGTTGAGAGATCATTTATTGTAACAGAGGTTCCTTGAAAAAGTTTTAAGTTTATTTTTTTTCAGTTTTAAATTTTCTTTAATTTTTAAGTTTTTAAAATATTTGAATAAGCATTTTTTTTTTTTAAGTTCTGACCATAGGCATTGAGGTTTTTTATTGGTAAGAAATAGCTGACATTACTGTACTAAGCATCTATGTTTCAACCAAAGTCTTTTCATTATTTCTGATGTCACAAATGGATTTTCCTTATGTTGGAAGAAGATTAGAATTGTTTAGTGCTCATCTGTTTTTTTTTTTTATAGGCACAGAGAAGGTCAGACATTTAGATAAAGTTGAATAGTGAGTCATAGGAAACCCATTTCCACAAGAGGGCGTGGTTCCGTGATTCAAAGCAAGTGAGGATAGCTTGCATTTCCTGTGAGAGCATTTGCATTTCATTCAGCTAAATAAAAAGCTGGATTTATTACAGAAATGATACTTAAGCTAATAGCATCAGCACAGCAAACCTGAATGTGAGAGCAAGGTGGCTTGTGAGAGACTGCCTGCTGTTCCACAGTGTGTCCTGGCCCAGGGACTCTTCTCTCAGCAAGACCATCATCTTGACACAGCGTTTATGTTGGCTTTTGTTGGGTATCATACTTTTAAAAAACACTCTACTCTTTTTTTTTTAACAATATTGCTTTCTGAAAGTGAGTGGTACCTAGCTAATTATCTCCAGGTTTACTCTGGTATTTTAAATCCTTCTCATTTTTGCATTCTGAAGGTAAATTAGCAATTAGCACATAGTAATCTCCCACATGCATTTAATACTTCCAGAGACTTTTGTGATGGAAAGAGAATCTTAATTCCAAAGTTTTTCTTTTGTTTACTTAAAAACAGAATGGTTAAACCAGTGGAAAATAAATAAAATTTAAGCCTTAGAATTTTCTATTTTGTTTTTTATGTAAATGACAGAATTGGACTGGTTGGTCAATAAAAAACTTAATATGATTATAACACTAAATATAATAATTTTATTTCACTGAAGCTTGGAATAATTATTCTTTTAACACATAGCTTAGGGCTAACAGCAAATTCAGAAGAAATTAATTTGACTATATTAATAAGTAACTGAGTCTGAAATTTGTAATCTGATAATTCTTGCTAATTGCAAAGGGGTGAATTATTAGTGCTACTTTTAAACTTTGTTTTCCTAAATATTATCTTTAAGTAACATAAAGAATTCTGTACCTTATCTTAGGCTAAATTTGGACAGAAATGTTCTAGAAAATGGGCCAGTCAGAAAATACTGCTTGTACGTTTTCAAAACTGACATATCTTATCCCTAGACACCTAGACAATTACTCTTCTTTCTTCCTTCTTTTTCAGCTAATTAAGCCACTTGCCCATGAGATTTAGTTTTGTGATGAAATTCATAACCTCTTTAAAATTTGGCAAGGTTCAGTAATTTTTGAGGGAGTAGAGTTTTGCACTGTTTTCTGCAATGTTGATTGTATAATGGTGAAAAGTCTTTATCTCCCTTACATGCTGGACCTGCCCAGGCATTTTCCTCCTGTTATTTTATCAGGACAGGAGGTAACTGGCAGCAGTGCAGAGAATCATTAAAACAATCTGACTTTTACTATATACCCTTCGAAACATGAAAGGACAATTGGACTTGGTGTGTCTGCAGATGTCCTATCTTGTACATGGAAAATATTGTTTTTATCATATATGAAGTTTTTTAAAAAGTATATTGAGTAACTGTTTTCTCTTCTGATAAGTAAATGTAACTGGGAGGAATTGATTTTCTTTGATATGATTGTTATATTAAAAATATATGTTGGAAGCCAGGCATGGTGACGAATACCTGTGATCGCAGCACTCAGGAGGCTGAGGTAGGAGGATCACCACACGTTCCAGGCCAGCTTGGGCTACCTAATGAGATCAAGGTGTCTCAAAAAAGCAAAAACAACAACAGCAAAAATGACCACTACCAAAAAAAAATTGATGTTGGAAAAATTACCTTCCATTGAGAGAACCATAATATCTTGATTTCATGGGATGATCCACACAGAGCAGGGTGTGTGGGTCCTACTGAAAAATGGAACAAGTTCATCTCAGCAGATTTCATGCTGTACAAATGCTGCCTAAATATATTTTTGATTACCTTTTTGCTTCCCTTTCCCTATTGTTTTTTTTTCCTTTGGTACCAGAGATCAAACTCAGGACCTTGTGCTTGTAAGGCAGGCGGCAGCACCACTGAACTAAATCCCCAGCCCCTTACTCTTTATTTTTTTTTTTTAGTTCTTTTATTGGTACATTTTAGGTATACAGTACGTTTACATTTGTCATTGGGTGCTTGTACCTGTACATGATGTATCTTGGCTCTTATTTTTTTCCCATTACCTGTGAACTCTTTATTTTTTTTAAGAGAAAGTTTGTTCTTAATAATTATGTCCTCGAAACTTCTGAAAATTTCCCATTGAAAATCTTTGATTTCCACAATATGGAAAAGGGTCTTTCTTGTACTGTTGCTCACAGGACTTACAAAAGCCTATTTTAAAGTTCAATAACATGAATTGTTTTTGTGATTGGAAAGTAATTCCCACTGATGCTTCATCACACCCTGTCTCCACCCCCAACACCGTCACATAAGTGTGACAGTGCCTGGTCCTGGGTGCAGTAGAATGATCTGTATCGTATTCCCAGCCTGGCCTGTGTTCCATCTGTGAGATGGAACAGGCTTTCACAGGCTGAAAGGGGAAAGTGCACACATGAGCAAGAGAACTGCAGTAACACGCTGTCCACAGAACCCAAATGGAAAAGTACTCCATCTCCTGGGTATTGAATCAAAGTGGGAGAGGTAGGGCGAACCTCAAGAAAGGTTTCAAACAGGAAGTTGAAGCTTGAATTACGCCATAAGAGATAAGTAAGTGGGGGAAGAGGACAGTATCAGGGACTGAGTTATCAGACCCGAAAGAGCCTCCCCAAGTTTCAGGCCTGTCCAACAGCTTGACACACATTGAGAACTGCAAGTAGTGATCACACAGCTTAAGTGTAGGAGGCAAGGGAGGACATTTAGAGGAATGGTGCTGGAGGAACTGACAGACCTCATCACAGATGCTGGGCCTTGCTGCAGATGTGTAAACTGGTGAGCAGCATAATGCAGTATGCACCTGACAGCTCTGTAAAGAATGGATCAGAGGGGAAATGGATGTATGGAAACCAAGCAGGAGACTTACAGTGTCCAGGAGAGAGGTGAATGCTTGTCTAGACTAAAGGAGAAACTGGGGTCAGGAAGAGAAAAGAGAGGGGGCCAAGGGAGAGATAGATTAGGGGATAACAAGGATAAGATTGTGAATGTCATGGCTTCCATTTCGTGGGTGTCAACAGATGGTTCCAATCAAAGATTAATGGGTATTATTAGCCTTCTAAAGCAAACTTTACAAAAGCCTGTTTCCCACAGTCTTACTTATAAATTATATGGGAAAATGATTAGCTAGCTACAGGGTTTCCAACCATATGGTAAAACCTCCAGTTTAAATAAGTAGTATATCCACACAGTGCATTAATACTCCTAGCTGTGGGAGTTTGGTCCATTTAGAGGTCCTGTGAGACAGTGGCTTAACAATGGGTGGTAATTCCTTCCTAGTATTAACTGGCACTTGCAGGCCTTGGGCTACTGAGTCTCATTTTCCTGATCTGTAAATAGTAGGCTAGCAATATTGTCTCATGGCTTTGTTGTGAGAATTAAATAAAATCAATGTACATGAAAAATGAAAGTGACAGAAGCAGCTACTGATGGTATGAGTAGCCTTTTTTAATTCCTTTTTCTCTCCTGAAAGGGTGTTTAAAACTGAACTTTCTTTTTTTTCCCCTCCATGCTGAGCCTTACTTGGTAGGAACCTGGAGGCCAGTATAAAAGCATACCAGCATAGTTATCCAAATATTTCAGTTCCTTAAGAAGATTTCACATGAAATGCTTGATTGCATGGAAAAACACATTGATGATTCCTGTTTGCTTTTGATACAGGATGTCAGCTGCAATGAGATCACAGCGTTGCCCCAGCAGATAGGCCAGTTAAAGTCTCTCCGAGAACTGAATGTCAGAAGAAATTACCTTAAAGTTTTACCACCAGGTAAAAAAAAGGAGGGGGAAATGAAGAAAATAGGAGACTTTTATTGTTTTGTTTTACTTTTGTGAAGAAAAGATGGATCTCCTATGTGTGTGTCTGTCTGTTGATATTAGTAGTTTGAATTTCACATGTAGATAACACAAAAGTGATATTCAAGATATAATGTTAATTGAGGGCTACAGCAGTATCGTTCCCCTATATAGGGCTGTGTGGTGGGTAGAAGACTGACTATATTCATTTGCTAGGGCTACTATAAAAAGAACTACAGACTGGGTGGCTTAAATAAAAAAAAATTATCTTTTCCTGTGGAGGCTAGAAGTCTGAGATGAAGATGTTGACCTGGTTGGTTCCTTCTGAGGCCTCTCTCCCTAACTTGTAGAGAGCCACTTTCTCCTCCTGTCTTCATATCCTTTATCCTCTGTGCATGTCTGTATCCTAACCTCTTCTTACAATGACAGCAGTGTATTAGGATCCAGCCTGAGACTTCATTTTAACCTAATTACCCCTTTAAGTCCCTGTCTCCAAATACAGTCTCAATCTGTACTAGGGTTAGGGCTTCCACGTATGAATTTGGAGGTGGAGAACACAGCTAGTCCACAACAGGAGCAGCATGAATGGTTTTGGACAGCTGTGTGATGTTTTGGAACATGGAGCTAACAGTTTAGGGAACACAGTTAGTCCTGCAGATCCTGGCTATCAGCATTTCTAGCCTGGGAGTACTGGTTGAGAACCCAGTCCCTGGAATCTGCTTTCAGGCGAGGCCTGCCTCTGCTGAGTGATCTTGGACTGGTGTCATTGGTATTTTGATGAATTTCAGCAGTGATGACTCCAGGGCCTCAGCATTGAGACTCAGTTACTGCAGCCCCAGCAGGAACATGGAGCCATTCAGACAGCCCTGCTTTGACAGCCATGGGCTCTGCAGTGTGTTCCCTGTACAGAGCATGAGAGTTCAAGTAAGAATATAAATTTACTTAGAAATTTTCTATCAGGAAGAGCTTGGAAGCAGCCCTGTTGATGGTCGTGGATCTGAATTTCATATTTAGGTTTGAAGCGGATCATGAATGAGTTGATGGGCCCAAAACACAAAATGCAGCACTGATTTTCAATGATCTTGTTCATTTCTACTGTTTTGTTTATGGACTCTAGACATAGCCAATTGCAAACATATACTTAAAAAGATACCTCAAAGCAAAAGCAGGTATTTGCAAGCAGTCAGCCTTTGATTAACCTGACGTTGTCATGCCATCTGAGAGCTGCCTGAGTTTTATTATCCTGTTCCTATATCTTGTTCTTTGGCTTAAAGACTTCATTATTCAAGAAAGAAAACAGAGCTCATGAAATCATGGGAGAGAACTTTGTAAGATGTAGTATACTTGATGGATTGAGGATGCATATGTTTGCCTGACAGCTTTCACCTTTCTATTCTGTATTTTAAAGAAGTAGAATCAGAAGCTATCTCAGTAAAGTTTATTACTTGTCATGAGTTCATAAAAATATTGATGATTCATAAAAATATTGTGTGCAGTCCCATTTTTGGAATATATAAAACTGTTTTTCTTGGTGTAAGCAGATATAAAGGGAAAAAACCCTCTAATTCCAATTTTACACATAGATCACTTTTTAGCCATTAAAGAAAACATTCACTTAAATTTGTTTCCATATTAATCATTGTGAAAATGTCACAAATAATTGAACTCCCATTTCCAAAAGCGAAAATTAATTATAGCATGCACAGGTGCCAGTAAGAGTTTGAACCATGGGGTCAAAACCGACGGTCCCTTTCCCTCAGCATCTCTCATTTCTTACTTTAAACGAGTTCCTTTCCATGAAAGATCAGTTACAAATCACTGTACTTTCCGTAATTATGTTTTCTTAGTTTTGATATTTTAAGATATACTCCAAGCTGAAACTTTTGTTTACTAGAAAATCTGCTTTGAATAATTTCCTGAATATCACATTTCTTTTTGCTTCACTCTGGAGAACTCTTAATGAAAGAGCGTTAAGGATACTTTCAGACAGCACATTAAGTTAAGGGATTTCTGTATTTACTCCCATGGTTGTCCTCTTTGGATACCCCTCCTCATATGCTCCCAATCTGAGGAGGACAAAAGAGGTTTGTGGCCTACTTATCCATGTCGTTTTGTGCTGGTTTTACTACAAAGAGAAGATCATGTTTTGTTTTCTCTAGGACCAGAATAAACAGAGGACTAAAATAGCTGTGCATTCTCCCCTTTGCAGTCGAGGAAGTGAGATTACTTTTCATCTTCCTTCTTTTCATCTTCTTTCCCCCCTTCCTCATCCTCCTTCTCTTTCTTCTTGCTTCTCTTTTTCTGCTCCATCTCCTTTGACTTTTTCTGGGCTGCCCTTACAGGGCTGTCATTTTTCTCTCCTACTTTGTGGCTGTGAAACTATCTTGTTCTCATTTTCCTAAACTATTATAGAAGTTGTGTTCCAAATTGGAACCAAAAGGAAAGGATTCCCAATTTCACTTACCTGTAAGTTGCTCCTGCTACGTTTGCCATGAATTTAGCCCTGTAGTTTTCCTTCAGAGTCTTCATTTTAGGTGGGAAAGAATTGCTGAAGTCTGGAGTAACTTGAGGAAATACAGCGGGCTATGTCAAGCAGACATTCCTTTTATGTAATGCTGCTCATTCTTAGCTACTTAGAAACTAAGATGAAAGAGGGTCATGCTTTCTCTTTCCTTTCACTTTCATTCTTCCAAGCCTTCCATCTCAGGGAGCTCTCAGCCCTTTCATCAAAACAAGGGCTATGACTGCATGGCCCAAGACCCACATCACTGGTCCTGAGAGTGGGTAGGATAGTTGGGTTTGAATGACAAACTACTCAGGGCATTTTGCAAAGGCAAAATGGCTTTGGCTCCAGGCTTTGGCTCCAGGACTCTGTATTGTACAGCCTACCTATCATGGATCTGACTTTGGGATCTGAAAGTTAGATCTTCCTCTTCCTCTAGAATTTCAGTTCCTTGGACTTAAATAAGCCCAAATGGTTTGCTATGGTATGAAAGAAGGAAAGTCCCTTACGTTTCCAGAATGCCTTGAACTCTCAGAAGAGATATTTCATTAGCAGGTTAATGAAAATTGTTGGCAGAATTTGAAGAGCTATAGCTGTAAAGGTAGTGGGGGAAGAGGACAGAGAGTGAATTTTGATTCCCGATTACACTTCTTTTTCTGTATCTAGTTCTTGCCCTTCTTCTTTGGAACTCCTGAAGTATTTTAAAGCACCATGTTTACCCCTCACTGGTCCCATAACAAAAGTGCTAAGGCCCTGTTCTGAAGTGAACCTCTGTAGCCTCCACAGAGTTCTCAGTGATCTGCCAACATCACCCTAGATTGTGGCGTGGCTCAGCTTCTCCTTGCGCTACGAAATATATTGACTTAATTTCTAGCAGCTGGCAGTGTCGGTTTGAATGCTTGAAATTGCTGCGTGTTTACAGTGCCACTGGGTGGGGATTGTAAGCTAAATATAATGTTCTATCTTGTTAGCAGAGCTACAAAAAACTTTAAAAGGAGTAAAATAAAACCTCATCAAATCAGAATTATAGGGCCTATAGGAAAATTCTAAATTTGATTTTTAAAAGTTTTTTAAATGGATTTGAAACGATCATCAACATATTTACTCTAAGTAGTTCTAGGAGTATGCCGACCCACGTACATTGAATATATAAAAATATTCTGTAATTAGCATATTTGTCATGTTCTAGCAAGTGCTGCCTGAAAACAGTTTGAAATTAAAACATATTCATGTCCTGTGTGGCATGGCTTGCCTGATTTTTTAGCTGAAAAGAAAGGGTTTGTAAACAATACATTGTAAATGTCAAGTGTTTCCAGCTCTTACCAGAACTAAGCACAATTTAAAATTATTGAGGTCTCAGTGAAAGATTTCTCCTGTGTGGTGAAATACATACATGTACATACACACCTATTCCTAATGCACAGCATGCTTTTGATTCTGCTAAGGGATATATTTCCCATTGAGCAGAGAATTAATGTTTGAATGCTTAGCCATTTAATAGTGTTGCTCTCTGAGATTTCTTTCCTTTTTCTATTCTTTTAGAATTAGTAGATCTTCCCTTGGTAAAGTTTGACTTTTCCTGCAACAAAGTGCTTGTGATCCCGATATGTTTTAGAGAGATGAAGCAGCTGCAAGTGCTACTGCTTGAGAACAACCCTCTCCAGTCTCCTCCAGCTCAGGTAGGGGCTCACAGGGAACCGCTGCCCTGTGGAGTATGCTCTTGTGGCCACTTGAGAAACTGGCTCCAGAGCTGGGTTTCCAATTCTCCACTGAGTTAATTCTGTGCTAGATATGATCAGAAGCAGTCACAATCTCCAAAAAGATGAAACCTTGGGTGAATTTAACCATAATAAGTTGCCTTCGGCTGCTTCAGATCTGTTTACCCTCATTTGCCTCAGTATTTTGATTGCTCCAACCCCAGAATTATATGTTTATTTATTGTTTGTATGTACATTTGAAACTTTTTCATGGAGGATATGGTTTACAAAAGGAGTAATATATTAGCAAGGACAGTGTATCTAAAAGTGTACTTTGTCTTAGTACAATCGTCGTATGTGTTTTCTATTTTTTTTTGGCCTGTTAGTCTGGCTGTTAATCTATATGTATGATGATTAACTTTATAAGGACTTAAAAGATAAATAAGTGAACCTGATACTGACAAAAAAGGCGAGGCAGAAGGCAGGGGAATAAAAGACTTGAGATCTGTTAGGTATATGTACCAATTTCCCACAATTAATATAATCATTAATGTACTGTGAAGATGCACTAATAAAAATTAAAAAGAAAAATAAATAAAAAATGAAATAGAAATGAAGAAAGATAAATAAAGAGTAATATACTGCTTATTTGAATATTAGCTGGAAGGTAGAGTTTAAGCATCTTAAAATGTGATTATTGATTATGTAGAGAGAGACAGGGCTCAGATTCCAATGTGAAACTGCCTTGAACAGCATGGTTAATCCTTGGAAGTACATATGCTTTCAGATAATCAACCAGGTGAACATTTTATTTTGTTCACATTATTCAACAACTTCTTAAGTGTAAAATTATTTTTTAAACACTTATTTGCTTTCTTCTAAGCCTGAAAATAATTGTGCTTTTGCCACCTTTTGTAATTAGAATGTTACCAGCCCAGTTATCTGACTTTTATACTTTTTGCACTATTTATACTTAAATATTTTTCTTTTAAAATTTTTTAGTATAATTTTAAAAAATAGGAATTGCTTGAGCATGGTTTTCTGAATACTTTCAATGAAGTAGAATTTAGAGGAAACAGTTCTCCAAATTTATATATGTTTTGGAGAGGTCAATTTTAGTGTACATTGTAAGGGAGGGTGTTGGTACAATGAAATGGTGAAAATTGAAATGTACAGTCAGGTATCTGACACATTTTATTTTGTCATTGGAAAGTAAATATGTATTAATTTCTCTGTAGATTTGCACAAAGGGCAAAGTGCATATATTTAAGTATCTGAGCATACAAGCATGCCAGATCAAGACAGCTGACTCCCTTTATCTCCACACCATGGAGAGGCCACATTTACACCAGCAAGTGGAAGACAGGTGAGTTGATGCCTTCCTTCACTTAGTCCCTGTTCAGAATCTGCTTAGGCCAAGACTGTCCAGGTAACTGATTTCAAAAATCTATTCATGATGGTATATGCTTGTAATCCAAGCACTCTGGAAGGCTAGAGCAGGGAGATTGCAAGTTCAAACCCAGCCTGAGCCACTCAATGACTTAGTGAGACTCCGTCTCAAAATAAAAAAAAAAGACAGGGAAGGGATGTAGCTCAGTGCAGAGGCCCTGGGTTCACTCTCAAAGTTACACACACACACACACACACACACACACACACACACACACACAAACACAAAGAAAGGAAGTGTAATTGGAAAACATTATCTTACTTTTAAAAATTATATCAAATATCTAAGAATCTTGAAAAAAGGCATCCCTGGTTCAGTCATTAGTCTCACTCAGCCAGTTAAAATGTATGACTAGACATTTAGAAACTATTGGAATAAGAAAAATTAATGCTGATGAACATTGGTCATCTCTCAAATCACTTCTGCCATTTTCTAATCAAGCATCAATCCTGCTTGAATGTGTGTAGATACTTATAAATAAGATCTATAAGAACGAGTATTTTTTTACTTATCATTTTGGACAACTACTATATGTCAAGCTCAGATATGCCTTTTAAACAATTACTAACTTTCAGTATGCTTACCGAACACTGTTAGGGAAAATTTCAGGCTTTATTTTTCAGTTGTCTTTTAAAAATACAGTGTGTTAGTTTTTTACCACTTCCTGTTTTGAGTGGACATGTTAGAATCCTTTCACACATTCTTGGGCCATTTGTAGGCTTTTGGCTTCCAGAGAACAAAGTTACCACACTGAACACATTTGTAGAAATGCTTTTCAGGAGTCTTCACTACAGAAATCTTTTCCTTTACTTTTAACAGGATGACTTAAAATTTCAGATTCCCATAACTGCACTTATAAATAATGCTTCAAATATGTATCTGTCATTTTGTGTTTGTAAGATACTATTGAATTTACCTAATCACTGAATAAAAGTATATAAAAATATTGAAAGTAACACTTCCTAACCTAAGAGATAAAACCAATTATGTAGCTTTGCTACTTTTTTGTATACTAAAATAAGAAACTTGGTAACTGTTTCAAAGAAACAACTTGAAGTCTAAGGAAATAAAAACCAAGAATTTATCTTGTGTACTTAGTACAAGTAAATGATTTGCATTAGGTATGTGTCTTAATATTGTCAAATACTGGACTAATTTGTTGCCTTATCATAATAAAATGTGTATAGCAAAGTTATTATTAGAATATAAAGTGATATATCTTGGTGTGAACTCTGTGATTTTAATTTCTTCTAAATGAATTCTATATTGATGGCATCTACCCCAGCAAGAAGGATTCTGATTCGGGAGTTGGAAGTGATAATGGAGATAAGCGATTATCTGCCACTGAGGTAAAGCCAGTGATCAGATTTTTTCTTTTGTGCTTTTGGATATGCGTATCTGCCTGTATTCACTAAACTCCTTTGTGTTAAAGGGCACTGATGGGTGTGCATGAGACTTTGTGATCATGTTTGTGAAAGCAATTGGAAATCCTCTAAAGGTTGTATACATATTAGCTACTGTTAGCATATTCTGCATCTTTAATATTTTGTAAATGTCTCAAGAGTCACTGTTTTCTTCCTCTCCAACTCCCATACATTGTCTAGAATACTCTTGAATGCTTAATAAATGCTATGAATTGACTAAGAGGTACACAGGGACTCATGAAGCACTTTTATAAATATGCATGTTTTTAAGCAACAGAGTAATTTAGCAAAAAGTTGTTACATGCATACGTAAATATGAAGGAATCAGGTATACATTGCATTTTGACAGTTTACTTATGAGATGATTTTATGAGTACCTATAGTTTTTATAGCAACATTCGTTTTTCTGAAATTCTTAGATTATGTTCTATTTTGCTCAGATAATTGAATGAAAGTCTGATTATTTGTGAGCTGAGGTTTTATACACTAGAACTTTCTATAGCCTGAAGAACTTAAGAGCAAAAGACTTCTCATTAACACATTTATTATTTCACACAATCTATTAGATCCCCAAAATGTTGCATTAATATCCACTAAGTGGTGCTTCTTGGCCCAGAGAACAAAAAAGGATAGGTGTTGTAAGGGACCTTTTTTGAGGGAAGTTACTGAGTTTTTGTAGTTCTTAGGTTTGGAAACATGATACACTTTGAAGTTGTAATTAATGGATCAGTTACCCTATGTAGGTCACATTTTTACTAAATGTGACTCCAGGATAAAACCTTTTCTCAGTTTTTCTCAAGTCTTTGAGGTTTAATAAGTGACTAAAATGTTTAATTTTTTTCCCACAAAAGACAAAGCGGTGTATGAAAAAAGGTAAGTTATGATTCCTTAACATTTGTTTTTAACACAGAACATTTTGAAAGGAAGAAGAATCAGTAGACAGAAAAAGGCCTGGGTCAGTGAAAGAAATTAACCCACGTGAAGCCACATTAATAGTTGACTGCTATTCCCTGTGGGGGTGGGAATACTAAGCACATAGCTTCCTAAGTTATATTTTAATTCATCCCCTTCGGCTTGATTAAAACTCATAAGTCCCCTTAAATGGACCATTGTTGCAGAAATTACTCAACCTAAGCTTATTTTCTATTAAACTAAGACAGACTCTGCATTATTCTTTATCTCTCTTCTAAGACTAATTAAGTTCATTAATAAAACATTACACAAAGAACTTCATTATCCTTCTCTTCACACTTAGTGTAAGTGGGATGCTAACATCATTCTAAAAGGAGCCCAAGGATTTATTTTCTTCCTTTTAACTAAATGCATATCTTTGGAATTTGTAAAATTTTTAAGATGGGAGGTGGGTTGAGGGAAAACGAACTATAGAAAATATTATATTCAGCAGAATAAAATGCACAAATCTTCTCTCTGGCCTTTTCTCGCATTATAACCTCATTACCTAAGAATGCCCCCAAGAAATTAATTACTTTTAGAATGATAAAGGTTGCGAATTGTCCCACACAGTGTTCCATTTTCACTGTGGCAAATGTGTTAGCATCCAGTGTTACTACTTTGGGATTCAGGAGTCACTCCCCATTCCCTTCCTTTTGCTGTTGTCATTACCAGATCGATTCAGGATTTGTCATGAAGAAATTGAAAACATTTTTCTTAAGAACTTTTGGGGTTCTTTGAATATTTGTTTGATGAATGAAATGCACACTTGTTTTCTGCCAGTTTGTAAACAATTTTGTGTCTGTCCAAAGGTAAACAGAGGCAGACTCTGAAAATCATAGTCTCAAGAACTTAAGAGCAAGACACAGTCATCTGAATTGTGTTCTGTGGAGGTTCCTGCTCACTGTGACTTGGAAAGTCTTTCACTAAATAGCAACATTGAAATGAAGACATAGGAAAAATAAATGTGGCTTAATATTTCATTTGTGACAGAATCATAGATTTTCAGAATAAAGTTGATCAGAGTATGGGAAAGGAGATCCTCAGAGAAAACTACTCTGATTACTACATTGAAGCTTTGTTTTAAAAACCTCACAGAATACATGCCTCTTTTGACTACCACATTTGTTCGGCACTTTTATATATTTAGTGTAGCTTTCTCAGCCAAAATCAGGGAAATGAGCTAATGCTTAATGTCACATGTAGGATGCACTCTAAGTAAATGAGATACTGTCACAGAGGTTGACTGCCTCCTTTCTGTGGCTAGCTTCATGAAACCTTGATGTAGTTTTGGGAAATTAGCTTTGTGATTAGATTTCAGAGTACTACTACTGTTAAAATGATTGATTAAACTTAGAACTAATATGATAGTGTATTTGCAATTATTCCTTTGTTCTATTGGATATTACACAGTCCTTTTTAATGACCTTACAATCACTCTTAATTTAGGAAAGCAGGTACATAACAAGATTTCAGCTCAAAACATACATACAAAGAAGCACACACAATGTTAGCTTCGTGAAATTTCACAAAGTGAACACAGCCAGCTCACAGTTCAAGAAGCAGCTTTAGCCACTGTGTCCTCTCTTACACGGTGGCCTGTCCGCATGCTGTGGCCCAAAATTCACTCTGCAGAGCTTGTTTCTTTTCCTACCTTTAATAAAACGTTGCTACCATTAAAGAAAAACAAAAAAGAAACAGCTGTAACAGCACCCTAGAAAGCCTCACTTACACACTAATCCTGAGAATAACCACTTCCTTACTTGAAACATCATAGGTCATTATTGCTGTTTTTGAACTTTATTAAATGAAAATATCCTCGTTTGCTTTGGAGTCTTTTACTCAATGTGATGTTTGTAAGAATCACAAGAGATTGTTTTATTATATAGTGTTCTTGTTATCTCTGCTGATAAAACTTCTCCCAGAAATGAAACAGTGCTCTCTTTCTGTTTAGCCTTCTGATGAAGATGCTGTCAGCCTCAGTGTGCCAATGTCAAATATCATGGAAGAAGAGCAGATCATCAAGGAGGATGGGTGCCATCGCCTTACCCCACCTGCAGGTCTGATAGGCACCACTTGCTTTTCAGTTTCAAATGCTATGTTTAAAATAACAAGTGCACAACCACTAATGCCCACTTGGACTTACTAATGATATTCTAGCTGCTGGCACACATAAAATCCCCAAATCTCAATAATTTAACACAATCCAAATTAAGTTCAAATGAGTGTTAGTGGTTGCCGGTGGCTTCTGTTCAAGTGTTGATCCAAAGACCAATGCTCCTTTCATCTGTGACTCCACTGTCACTAACATGGGAAGTCCAAAGTTTCCGTGTCCATTTATTTTAAGCAAGAAAGGAGAAGAGCATGGTGATTTGCTCATGGTGGGGCTTCTGTGGGCTGGGTCTGGAAGGTAGTCCCCATCACTTGTAAGACAGACTTCATTCCATATGCCTAATAAGATATGTGTTCAGGAGTCTGTATGCCTTTGGACAATCAGTTGCCCTTAATTCCCTCCTGTAAATGTAGTGATTTGATGAGGTAATTGCTAGTCTCCTTTGTAACTAAAGTTCTATAGCTCTTCAGTAATCACCAAGTGATCCCTCACTGTAGGAGACATGCATATCTTCAAAATCCTGTTCCCTTCAAATCTTTTCAAAATACATATTTCGTATCTTATGGTAGTGTTTTCATGGCTCCTATTTCCTCAATGCCTTGGAGAAAACACTAAAATTTAATGTTTATTGATTTGTGGTAGAAAGTATTTTATGATATACAAATAGTAATATATTAATATGCAGATTATCTCCCTTTGAATATGCTTTTGTTAATTATGAGAGAGCTAATTCAAACAACTCAAATTTTATATTTACTTCCAAATTCTTAACATTTACTTTTTAAAGTTTAGCATTTAATTAATAAGATGATATTGGAACTATACATTGTCCAAAAATATGGCAGTACATAGCACTTACATACTAATACAACTGCCACCATGTTAATTCAGATAAACTTGATAACATAATGCAGTCTAGCTGGCTGTGTTGTAGACAGATTTTTCAAATAAAAGAATTCCATAGTCTGGTATGAGTGAGTTTTTTTCCCTGCTCTAGACGTGGGTATCCACCTGGTTCACAGTCCTGTTTGGTCCTTTGTGGTCTTCAAATGGGTCACAACAGTTATACATGGTGTACCTGTTGCCTCCTAACATCCCTTGGAACTTGTTCTAGGTGGCTGTCCACCACCTGAGTATGTGTTTGCCTCTGTATGTTGTAATTTCTGTTGTTGTTAGGATTTGGGGCTCTTGTCTGATCTTATCCCACACTCTTCCTTGAGGTTATTTGCTACTTAAGTACAGGAGTCATACTTAACTGATTTTTTAAATCTTTAAAATGTATAGCATAGGACTTGCCATTTAGCAGCTGCTCAATAAGTATTTATTGAGTTCGTAATTTGAAGTAATTAGTCACATATTACTAAGCCCTCTTTTATAATTTCTTTTCTTCATTCCTTAAACACATAAGGGGAAATTCATTTCTTTCATGAGCTAAGCCATAAAGAGGCCTTGAATTTTTAAGTTCAGCTTGAGGCTTTCTGTTTCTTTTACGTTTCTTCCCCTTCCTCTTATTTTTAATCTTTTCCTCACGTTTTAAAGGAAGGAGAGCATTTGAGTCATTCATACACCTTTATAGAAGGTAAGAGGAGAGAAGCTAGAACTGATGAGGTAGCATATTTGCAGATCATCTCTGCTTTGTGCTTCTGTTCATGAAATCATGCCTTCTTCCCTTCTCTGTATTTTCCTGATAGGGGAATTTCATCAGGAATTTCAACCAGAGCCTTCCCTCTTGGGTGCCAACAACAACTCAGGACAAGAAAGAGACCAGTTTGCTGATGGAGCAGATGTTCTCCACTCAGGATTTATGAACTATATTAAGGCAAGATTTTGAGTATCAACTAATTTTTTGTACTCATTTACTTCTGTTTGGCACCTCAGAATTTAAATTCAAGGTTTCCAATCCATTGTCTTCAAAATCCAGCTTTCTGGGCTGGGGATTTAGCTCAGTGGTTCTGCTGCCTGACTTGCAAGTGCAAGGACCTGAGTTCGATCCCCGATACCCCCCCCCCAAAAAAAAATCCAACTTTCTGTAGCCTTTCTGAAGCTTTTAGCTCTTCTTCTTAAAGCTTAGCGTGGGACCTGACCTCGGCCATGCATGCTTCTGCATTTATCTGCTTATAGGTATGTTTTGTTTTTGTCTTCAGAGACTGCTCAGCTTATTACTCCTCACTGATTCATGCAAGTTAACAAACCTAGAGTTACCATTACTACTCAAAAAAAGCTAAAATAGTTTTATATTTTCAATATGTTTTAGGTGAATATTTTGCTCGAGAAAACAGGTTGAATATCCCTTATCTGAAGTGCTTGGGACTTAAACTGTTTTCAATTTTAGAGTTTTTCCACTTTGGAAATGTTTGCATAGATGGATGACCATTCCTAATCTGAAACTCTGAAATCTGAGATGTTCCAAAATCTCAAACTTGTTGAGCATTCAAAAATGCTGGACAGAAAAGTGGGGACTCTAAAAATCTGGAAATAAACTTCTTTGGACAGGTCACTCTGAGGACATTTATTCCTGAACAGTTGTAGTTGCCTTGAGATTTTGAAAGGGCAAGTGAATTCGCTAAGTTTTCAGGCAGATCTTCGTCATAAGCAAAGGGAGGAGAGAATAACTAGGCCTGTACTGAAGCCTGTGGTTAAAGTTCCGCTTCATGGTATGATTAGGCCTGTGGGATGTTTCTGCCAGCCCATTTGGAAGGCTGAAGCTTAGTGTTTTGGTAAAATGTAGATTTATTATGGCTTCTGAGTTACTATGTTGAAGTCAAGAATGGAATATGTAAAGACATCCATATTTTCTGAGGATCAAGTCGTGATGCCTGGACTCAGCCTAAACATACTTCTCTAGCATCACTTTCAAGGCCCTTGGGAGGAAGACAAGCTGACTTTTATACTACTTGAGACCCTAATGTGTGCAAGCTGTCTTTATGTCCTCAAGACAGAAATAACAAACCTGCCACCTGTGTATAGAATACAGTAATTTAAAATAACTACAAAAGTATATGGAAGGAAGCCAGGCATGATGTTGCACACCTGTTATCCCAGCACTCTGGGAAGCTAAGGCAGGAGAATAGCAAGTTCAAGCCCAGCCTGGGCAATGGAGCAAGACCTTGTCTCAAAATAAAAAATAAAAAATGGGCTGGGTTTATAGCTCAGTGCAAAGGTCCTGGCATCAATTCCCAGTAAGCTAATGGTAAGCTGTCCTTAACCCGTCAATTCTTATTTCTGCCCGCCACCTCCATTGAGGTTATTCTGGTTGAGCCTCTTCATTATTTACCTTTATGCTTAGGTGCACCCATCAACTTCTCATCCAAATCATCCCCGATGTAGGTGTGCACGCACTTTATGTTCTGTTACCAGATGTTTTCTTAAAGTGCAAATCTCATCTCAGTATTCTCAGACCAGTGATTCTCACAAGGCTCACCCAGATTTGACCCCCATCTATCACTTCAGTGCAACAGTTCAATCACAAAAATGTGGAAAATTAGGTTTTTTTCTTCATTTTATAAGAGTTCATCTTAATTTGAGAATCAAAAGATAGCTATGAATAGTTTGTTTAGAAGATGTTCGAATTTAGGTTCTGAAAGAAAAAAAGCAATTAGTCAAGAAAAGCATACTGTTTCAGAAAACTAAAAGTATGAAGAAATTTTAGGAGGCAAAGGACTCTGTAGACATGACTGCTTTAGAGAATGGACACTTGCAGATTCAGTATTATTCTGAGGAAGTCAACTTGGAAAATGTTTCCTGGAAGATACTTATCCTGGAAAGTCAAGAGAAGAATGCTAATAACTAAACAAAATCTAAATCTACAACAAGTAAAAGGAGAGATTGTGCATGGAAAATCAGACCCAGACTGGGCTTGGTTGACACCACTGACAGTCTTTGAACGTGTACTTGACAGCCAACAAGTGTGTCAAATCATCAGGAGTGTCAAGAATTCTGTTTTCTATAACCTTGGCTTATTTACTGGATTAACATCTTATACTTTGGTAACTACAGTGTATTTTCATTATTCACATTAGTGATACTGTCTAAAGCCACCATGCATATTAAATTATCTAATACTAAGCCATTGGACCTAGAAAAAATACAAAGTTAAGTTCCTGTGAGCCTTTGGCCATATTCTTGCCATCCAGTCAATACATAATCTTGTTTTATGTATTTTTCTGCATAAAGATATCTTATTTAATGTACAGTTATATGTTGCTTAATAATGCAAATAAGTTCTGAGAAATGCATTTTCTCATTTTGCAGACTTCATAGAGTGTATTTATATAACTAAAATGGCTAAGGCATCACTAGACAATAGACTCTTGTGGCCCACTCTTGTCTATGCAATGCACCATTGACCAAAATGTTATGTGGCACATGACTGTACATTGTTGCTCATTAACATTGAACTCAAAGATAACAGCACTGTAACTCACACTTAAATAAAGTGTATCTAACACACCTATGTTCTCAATAAGGCACCTCACAGCCTTCTTAGGCTTCAGAGGCAAGGCAGCATCTCAACACTGTGTTTAGGGGCCATTTTAAATGGTGAAATGAAAAGAAGGCACAAAAGAATGAAAATATGGCACTAAATAGGCACTAAATAGACTGTGAGCATGACCTTGTACCACCTCAGCTGGGAAATTACACATCTTCAGACTCCTGTTTTTCATCCCTCTACATGTCTGTGAATGACTTTGAAAACACCACGAGTGTAGTTAGGGAGCTATAAATAAGTTTTAGTGAGTAGGCAATTTGCAAATGCAGAGCCCACTGTATAAGCACATAATTTAGCAAAAGAAATGCAGTAAGGTTATTTGGCATTCTGAAATAAAGAAAAAAACATCTAGATGTTTTTATACTATTAGCTCCTTTTCATTTTGAAACTGAAAGTCAGAAGAAAATACCCATATTGTTTCTGGTAGTACATTTTTACCCAAGGCTTTCACTGTCATCTGGAGAGGGACACAGCAGTTTCTATGTTGACTTTATTGTACACTAAACTTGTTATCAATATAGAAGAAAAGCTTGAGTGTTTTGAGCTAGAGGCTGCATTGGAGAACCAGGTCCTCCCTGAGGAAAGTGCTGTATTAACAGCACACCTGGTGGCTCAGTGGTCTTGAGTTAGGTAAGGATGTGCCCCTCAGTCCATTTGTCTGGCATTCCATCCTTAATGTGACACAACCATTCAGGGGTGGCTTCCATTCTAGTATCAGCCTAGTTAAAGCATTATTTCTCTGTGTCAGAGATGAAAGCATAAAGAAATTGTGAAAGCACCACAGTGGACATAGCTTTCTCAGTGTTCACCCGCTGCAGTGTCTTTAGGAAATGACATGGGGAAGGTGTACATTTGAAAGACATCCGATGTTATAAATATGAGAATTATGGGATGCATCATGAGGCACGTCTCTTGTTAAGAGCATTGCATTTTCTTTTTTCCAACAACTTAGATGCACATAAGTACACACCCTTTGTCTCACAAACATTAGAATGCATGTTCACTTGTAGTGTGTGGTGGGAATCTGTCAACACCAGGAGGTGCTAAAGGAGCAAGAAGCCTAGTTAAGCTATAGATTTCTACTGCTCAGCTAACAGTTGCTAAAGTCCTGGGCCAGGTTGTTTTTATTTTAGTTTTTGATTGTTTAATTTTTAATTGTGATAAAATATATACAACATAAAATTTAGCATCATAACCATTTTTTAAAAGTACATTTCAATATGCGCTAAGTACATTTACATCGTTGGGCAGTCAGTCTCCAGAACTCTTTTCATCTTGCAAAACTGACACCTTGTACCTTGTATTAGTCACTTTCCCATTGCTTGGACAAAAAACTCATCACCTGCAACTTAAAGGAGGAGAGATTTAATTTGGCTTATGGTTTCAGAGGATTTGGCGGAAATAGCATGATGGATGGGCATGGAGGAAGGAAGCTGCTGACCATGGTAGCCAGGAAGTAGAGAGAGAAGAGCCATGCATGAGAATACTGCTCACTCTTCTAGGACACACCCGCAGTGATCCACCCACAGTGATCTGCCTCCTTCAGTGAGGCCCTACCTCCTCAGGGCACATTCAACTATAAACTCATTGCAGAGTCTAGCACTCCATGATCTAGTCACCTTCTAAAAGCCCCACAACTGAACATACGAGACTTTTGGGGGCCATTTTAGATCTAAACCGTTGCATACCTATTGAACAACCTCTCCTTTCCCCACCTCTCCTTCATGCCCCTTGGAGCCACTGTTCTACTTTGTTTTCATGAATTTGACTACTTTAGGTACGTTGCATGAGTGAAATCATATTTATTGTCTTTCTAAGGCTACTATTCCGTTATATGTCTGTGCTACGTTTGGTTTGTCCATTCATCCACCTGAGAACACTGGGCTTGCCTTTTGTCTCCAGTGAATTACACTGCCGTAGGTGTGGGCTGGGGCAGGTTTTAACGCTTTACTGAATGACCAGTGGTTCTCAGGAAGCTTGTATGTTCTGTCCACAGGACAGGGCAGAAGTCTGTGAAGAGCTGTTACGGATAGAGGAGGACGCACACTGGCAGACAGAAGGAATGTGAGTGTCTGGGGCCTGGTTGTTGGCCACTGTCCTTGAATAGTTCATGTTTGGAGCACACTAGATGTCCTGTCCTGATAGAATTTGACCCACTTTTCCTTGAACAAGTTGATATTCTTACCCAGTGATAAAAAGCTGCCAATTTTACTATGTCCTTTGCTTGTCATAGTATTGGGGCATACGGTATGACTTAGATGGTTTTATGCTGCTGGAATACCACAGATTGGTGCTATACAGACAGTACACATGTATCTGATTTACAATTCTGGAAGCCAAGAAGCCCAAGAGAAAGGGGCTTACCTATACTGAGGACCTTTTGGCTGCATCATACATGGCAGATAACACACATACCAAAAGAGTGCAGGAGAGAAAGCAAAGAAAGACCTGGGCTCCTTTTAACAAGGAACCCACTCCTCTGTAATGGCATTACTCCACACAGAAGGTGTCTTAGCTACTTCTCTAGTCACTTAGAAACAGTACCTGACTCTACAACTCTGAGGAGAAAAGGTTTATCTTGGCTCATAGTCTGTAGGGGGTTCAGTCCATAGTTGGCCAGCTGCAAGGGAGGACAGCATGGCAGAGGAAAGAGAACTCATGGCATTGCAGTGGGAAGTAGCAAGATCAAGAGAGAAGAAAGGGAAATAGACCCTTGCAGGTCACACCTCCAGTGACCCCCCTCCTCCGACCAGGATTCACCTCCCAACATCACATTTAGCTATAAACTCATCGATGGACTAATCCAAAGATGAGTATCACACACCCATGATCCAGTCACCTCCCAAAAGCCCCACCTCTGAGCACATGAGGCTTTGCGGGGACATCTAGGTATAAATCATAACATGAAGTCAGAGCCCTTATGACCTCATCACCCCTTAAAGGTCTCACCTCTCAACTGTTACGTTTAGGATTAAGTTTCTCACACAAGATCTTTCATGCAAACCATAGCACTCTGCACAGTTGTCCCTTTATTGGCCTTGAATTTCATCTGATTTGAGATGGTGAGTAGAAATGTCATGCAGAGAATTAGCTAGTATGTCCAAACTAGAGATTTTATATTCTTTCATTTGCCTGAAGAAGCCAACAATTGGACCAAAAGCAATCCTGTATTGCTAGTCTTCTTCTTTACTCAAGATTTTTGGTTTGGAACCTTAGAAAAGCATCAATCTGTAATGTCCTGGTACCAAGTCTAATACCTGCATAGTTAACATTTATTAAATAGTATGTGTGAGCACTATCCTAGATAGGCACAGGTCAGAACTCATTTTATTGTTACCATAATCCTGTGAGATAAGTTCTGTTTTCCCCATTTCACAGATGACAAAACAGGGGCACAGAGAGATTATCTTGCCCCACAGTTATGGAGGACCAACATTTGGCCCCTAGGAATCTTGAACCATGTGAATATCCTTTACACTCTACTGTCTGTCAAGGTTTATTTGGGAAAGAGTCACAAAGTGGGATGAATGATCTTATCAGATGATGAGCCATTTTCAGGAGAATTGAGTTTGGACCTTGTGGTATAGAGTAGATATTCCTGGAATTACGTTTTCCATGATTTGGGATGGACCTTCCATCATACATTGTGTAGATCTCTCCTTTTGGTGAAGATTTATCATTTGTTGAATTTTTTTTCTACTTAGAGAAAGTCACTGGCTTATACTGTATTCTGTGGTAGGAACAACTAAGCATAACCAAATCTTTCTCAAACTTTAAAAATACTGGAAAGTTTGCTGTCTATATTACCACCTATTCATTGGATATCCTTCTGCGATTCCAAGGAGGCCTAGCTTGATTAGAGAATGACAGGGAAAGAGATTTGTTTTTAAAACTAGATAAAGCTTTGGAACCCCCATTTTCAATTTTACATTTTTTGTTCTTAACCTGAACAGTAAATCAGGTTTATCTCTAGAGCTTTATAAAATATCCCACCCTACTTGGTGTCAGATCTGCTTGGGAATATTGCACCTGGCATGTTTTTAGAGCTACATGGATAATTTTGCTGTGAGGCTGAGAACCGCTCTCCCATATTGAACCCTGTATTGTGTCAAAGTAAGAAATCTGAGCCATGCTGCTTAGACTGGAGTTGGAAGCTAGGAAGTAGTGCAGATCTGTCCACAGAGCCCCCTAGAAAACCCATAGAACTCAAGACAGCAGGTTGTGAGGTCCGTGCATCTAGCCTATTGCCTGATTGTGGACAGGAACAGTTGGGGGCTCAGAGGTGTTGAGCTGAGCTGATTTCCCCTACCCACGGGCTCTTCCTGCTACACCCTGGCCCCCACCCCACAGGGCACTGGTATGTCTTCATTGTAGTATTGAATTTGTCAAAATCATTTTTCCAAGTTAGATGGAGTTATGTAAGTTTACTCTTAACCTAAATGATACCCATGTTTTAGTGATCATTTTCTTCTTGTACTTGGTTTATGTTACAGAATAAGTTCATCCAAAGATCAGGACATGGATATAGCAATGATTGAGCAGCTGAGAGAAGCAGTAGATTTGCTGCAAGATCCCAATGGGTATGCATGTCTCTCCTTGGTCTGGCTTTCCTGTGTGAATAATGCCCACTAATTTATTAACACATTATTTAAATTTCTACAGTATTTGTACATACAATTTGATATTAGTCTAAACTCTAACAAAGTGAAGTCATTTTAATTTCCTATTTCCCAAAGTCCAAAAGGGAAGGAGTCCAATTTCTGCAGAGATTGAGATCAGTTCCCCTTTCTTTACCTCATAATAAAATTTATTCCCTTCTTATGAAATTCTTATGGGATTCTTGGTATAGCTCTTAGAAAACAGAAATATGATGAAAAGTACATAAAGTTTAAACTGCTAATTTATGGAAATACAAGAAAATTTTTCTAAAAGCAAATTAAATAAATACGACTATTAATCTGGTGGTGCCAAATATGAACTGCTGATAGTGCCACTATGTTAACTAAATAGAACATTTCTGATGATTTGTATTGTACGTTACTTTTAAATTTGACTTGGCCATTGTCACTAACATGCACTCCATACAGTTGATATATTTTTTGGTTTCTTAGCTAAGGATAATGGAATTCCCATGGACAAAATGTTTTTCAGTAAGATGATATAAAGTATCAGGTAATAACTACATGACTGCTAGAAAAGTACACTGAAGGCTTATCCCTGGTAAAGTATGAAGGGCTCCTGGAAATTTAAATGTGAAGATGATATGGTCTTATAATAAGATGAACATGAGAACCACACCACAGCACCCTTATCTGGGTTCTGGGGATTTATGAAAAGGGTGGTGAGTGAACCCAAAGTTACAGCAAGAACACTCCAACAATATTGTTTGGCCTTGAAAGAATAGTAACAGGTCAGGTTAAGTATGGCTGGAAATTTTTAGCAATTGATGTTAGAAAGCATTTTAGTTCTTCAGACATTAATTAAGTGCTCAGAACAGGGAAGAGCTACAGTATGCACCTTGGGGGAATATAAAGATGAAGAAAACATAGCTCCTGCCTCCTGATAACTTGTATTGTTTATAGCTATAAGAGCTAGGGATTGCCTTGTGCAGTTATTTATAACTGTAATTGATTTACATGCTTGAAATAGAGGTAAAAAATGATAAAGTAGAATGAGTACTTGATCCAAGGAAAAGGGGGAGACAACTAAGTTGACCTTCTGGAAGGATGGAATGTTTAACTGGGGCCTCTAAGACTGGTAATTTTATGGGGAAAGTAAACTCTGCATTGAATGAGACGTATAGGTAAATGTATAGAGGCCAAGGAAATGGTATTGGCCTGAAAAAGCTCTGGCACAACAGAGGTTCTCCACCCTGGATTGCCCCAGTATGACTTTTGGAACTTTTTCAAAATAAATACCAGGCGTGGGATTCTGGGTTGCCCATGCTTCTGCTGTGCAGCCAGGACTGAGAATCATCAGAGTGGCAGTATGGGTATATTAGTCAGCTTTCTGTTATGATAACAAATACTGGAGATTAATCAACTTAGGATTGATTTTGGCTCAGTTTGGGAGGTTTCAGTTCATGACTGATTGGGCCTGTTGCTCTGGGCCTATGGTGGCACAGCACATCATAGTGGAAGCCTATGGGAGAGCAAACCCGTTCATCACATGACTGGATGTAAAAGAGAGAGGAAGAGGAAGGACCAGGATCTCAGTGTTCCCTCCAAGGGCATGCCATCATATGACCAGAACTCCTACCAAGCCCCACTCTAAATGCGGTTTTAGAATATCCTACCTCTAAAAATTAGGATTTTATCAGAAATTACTATTTTATTGTAAATAAATTGGATTTCAGTACCAATAGCGGTTGGAAAATCGTCTTTAGGCGTATGGTAAGAAAATATGCAGTTTGAAATTTTTTCATAAAGCTTTTATCACTTAATACAAAAGAAACATCATTTTCAGTATATTAAACTTTTAAACTAAGTATGACCAATCACATTTATAAAAAATAAAAATTAATAAATTCACTAAAGCCTTTTCTTCCGTGCTCTTTAGATTAAGCACAGATATTACAGAAAGAAGTGTTTTAAATCTGTATCCTATGGGAGCAGCAGAAGACTTAGAATTACCAGATTCTGCACTAAAGTATGTTTGCCTTTTTGTAACTAAATCATTTTCTTTTTCTTTTTATACATTGAAGTATTTATGCTTTAAATCCCACTTTATGTCTTCTTCTTCTTTTTTTTTTTTCCTTTTTCCTGTAGTGGTCAAATAGAGCTGGAGACATCTCCGGTGTGTGAGGTAAGACCAGGACTTTATAGATGGACACCTTGTTCTGTAAAGACTTGCAGAGGGAGAAGCATTTTTAAGAGTGAGGCCATTATCCATATTTGATCAGGACACATTGTTCAACTGTTGTATATTTTTACCCTCTTTAGTTCTGCTTATCTTATAACTCACCTTCCATTAAAGATGAAAGTTGGCTATTTCTCTGAGATTATCTAAACTTTTTACATAAAGGTAGTCTTGCTGAGTCAGGTAATGGCCACTAAGATACCTAAGGAACCTAGTCCATCAGAGGTTGGAGGTAGGACCATTCAGAGCAGATTCTAGAACCAAGGAAGAAGTCTGGTCAGGTGAAAATAAACTGGAAAAGACCTGAAAAATAAGAGCAAATAAGTTGGAGGTGTCTAAGATCAAAAGAATACCATGAAGAGAAACTGGTAAGGTTATTTGGGGACAGGATAAGGGAGAGTTAAGTAGAGCTGCATTGGGCTTGGAATTTGAATGGCTGTAGACAAAGCAGTTTGGGCATTAAAGTAGAGATGACCCTAAAAGGTCCTAATGAAAAACTGTTACCCCTGTCATGGAGAAGTAAGTAAGAGCTGGCAATTTTGGAGTTAGGACCTCTGGCAACTTGTTCCATCCCTTCTTAGCAAATGAGATTAGGATGGCTGAGTTAGGGTGCAAGACTGTGTACAAACTGGCATGTTCACAAAGTGTATGGTTTCATTGTTAACGCAGGGACTTACGATTGTGTTGGGGATCAGCCCCCTCCCAAAGACTTGCTAACTCTGGGAAAGTTAATTAACTTCTTTAAACTAAGCCTTCAGGGTTGGTAAATTGGGCTACCCTGGGTGGAGGGGTCATTGAATTACCCAGCAGAGGAATGAATGTCAGGATGCTTTTTATTAGCAGTCTGCTCAGGACTTATTTCCTCAGGCTCTCCATTTAGATTGCTTTTGGTTCTCTGAAAACTACTCTTTTTAAACTTCATATTTGGAAATAATTTTAAATTTTTAAGAGATTGCAAAAAATAAAGCCTGAGTTTATGTTAGAGGATGCAAAATGTTTATACTCCCTGACTCAGATTTATGAGCTATGGGTTGAACATCCCTAATCTGAAAAATTCAAAATCAGAAAATACTCTAAAATCTAAAACTCTGAGCACCAACAAGGTGCCCAAATGCACTAAAAATGTATAAAATTATCTTCTGGGTATGCTTATAAAAGATATATGAAGTATAGGTGAATTTTGTGTTTAGACTAGGGTCCTTTTCCCAAGATATCTTATTACATATGTGCCAACATTCCAGAATCTGAACTGCAAAATACTTCTGGTCCCAAGCTTTTTGTATAAGGGATCCTGAAGCTATATTAACAATCTACCACCTTGGCTTTGTTATTTGTTTTTTTTTTTCCCTCCCTCTCCCTCTGTCAACACACATACATTCTTCTGAAATATTTGAGGATAAGTTTTATTCATTACAGTTTTTTACCTTAAAATATTTCAGTGTATGTTTTCTGAGAGTAGGGATTTTATCTTACATAATCACATTTCACTTATGAACTTTATCCATTTACATTGAGAACACACTTTCATCAACTCTACCACCCATGCTCCAGATTGATCAGTTGATTTGAGATGCTCTCCAATCCAGTCTTTTTCTTCCAGTGCAGATGTTGCTTTCACTCATCAGGTATTTACAGCCTCCTTTACTCTGGAATATTGTGGAACCTTTCTTTGATTTATGGCCTTGAAATTTTGCAGAACACAAGCCTCCTTTTTAATAAAGTGTCCTTCCTTTGGTGTTTATTTAACATTTGCTCATAATTAGATTGAGGTTCTGCCTTCTTATTTGGCATCCTACCCTGGCGACATTGTGCATCCTCAAGGTTTCACATTTGGTGGCATGGTATGTCTCCATCTGTCCCTCATTGATCATGTTAATTTAATCACCCAATTGAGGTGTAACCTTGTTTCTCTGCTATATAATCGTTGTTTTATTTCTCCATGCATCTGATTCACAGTCTGAAGAGATGCCTGAAGATCATCTTGGTGGCTGGGCATGGTGGCCTACACCTGTAATCCCAGCACTCTGGGAGACTGAGGCAGGAGGATTGAAAGTTTGAGCTCAGCATGAGCAACTTAGTTACTGACTTAGCATGGCCTTATCTCAAAATAAAAAACAAAACAAAAGTCTGGGGATATAGTTCATTGTGAAAGGCCTGAGTCCAGCCCTCAGTACTGGTGGGGGGAGCATTTTAGTGTCATGCTACTGACTCACTTTTGACTGGTGAAATGATGGCCACCTGTGCGTGATTTCAGAAAGTTCCAGGAAGATGTGAGACTTTAGAAAAAAGCTAGTTCTCTGATGTACAATTGTATGGTCATGTCAATAATGTTGTTCCCCTATTAAAATGCATGTATTCCTGATGAAAAAAAGAAGATCTTGCTTGATGATGGATCACAGGTTTTGTTTTACATATGTTGTTACCTTAATTTTTGAAATGGATTTTTATTCTATTAATTGATCCCTCCTTTATTTCTCTTGTTGCTTGTCTTCATGGCATAGCATAAGTGCTTAGCATTTTCACCCAAAGTGAGACCTAGCACAGCCCCTGTGCATGGTGAGTAATTAGTGAGGGTTTGTGGAAGGGTGGGAAGAAGAAAAGGAGAGAGATAGGAAATAGGTGGTAATGAGAGTAGGCTTTGGGCAGCAGAATTTCAGTATCCTGCTCATTTGATATATAAACCTCTGGATATTAACTGATACAGTAGCTGAAAACACTCCCTCATTTAGGTAAAATGTACTGTATGTTGTGTTCCCTCGAATGCACATCCTTGTGCTTGTGTTTATTGAAACTCATCTGACCCTTTTCTGCCTGCTCATAAAGCCTCGTGGGATTTCCCCATGGTTGCCATCATTCCATTATGTGGAAAAGCTTATTGTCCATCTAAAGTAGGGAATTTGACTTCCAAGTGATGTGTCTATCACTTGGTCGTTGTGGTCGCTTTAATGGCCCTCCACGCAGGTCACTCCACGACCTTCCCCAGAGTAAACGCCTGCTCTGATCAGTTGTATCCCTGTTTGAACACACAGGATGTGCCAGGTATAACCTACCTTGGCACTTTTATTGGCACTTACATGCATGTACAGTTTTTTAAAAGAAATACACCTAGATTCTAGGATTGCAAGAGTCACCAGGAAGACACAAAACCTATAGGAAAAATGATACCTGTATTCTATCCCCATTCAACTCACAATGTTTCATGTTATTTTAATATAATATAAGGATTTGTTTCTTTGGTTGAATAGTCATATTTAATGTAAGAAATTGTTTTACCTTTTCTTTCTTCTTGGGGCAGTTCTCTATCCTTGATAAACATCGCTCCATGATTTTAAAAAGGGAGGAAGGAAAAGGAATTCATGAGAATAAGGAAAAGATAATAAAGCAGTGGATTCTCAAGGCCAGTGATCATGCTTGTGCAGGTCCTTATTTATGTGTGGTTATTTTTCATTCTCTCTTCCACCTGTTCAAGAAGAAAGCAGCATGCTTCAGGACAGGCTTACACTGGCTCGCCATTCGTTGAGCACCTCTGCTGGTCCAACTAATGTTTGCCATGGAGGACTGGAATGGGAGGGTGGCAAGTGGTCCTCATTTTAGAGGAGGCTTAAAAATTGCACAGAACAGAAGATATAGATGTTGAAAGTATGTAGAGGAGAATATGAGGTGGCCTGCAGTCCCGAGTGTTCTCTGTGCTCTGGGAGACTGGAGAGGAATCGAAGTCTGAGGAGAAGGGTAAACTGGGACTTGGAGGCTGTGGCCAGGAGACACTGTGCAAGGCAGTGTGGCTGTGGTGGGCTCAGCACCCTGTTTGAGGCCAGGCCGGGGCAGTCCGCACCTAGGAGCTGCCACATTCTCTGACCTTAAACATGCTTGATTTTGTTCTCTTTTTTTCATTTTATTAGTACGTTTGCAGTGCATAATGATTACATTCATCACGAAGAGTTCATACGTGTACATAACCCATCTTAATTCTGTTTATTCGTCTCCTAAAGCTCCTTCCAACTCTTGGTCTCCTTCCCATTTGCAAAAACTATTTCCATTTTTTTCTTTTCAATTCTTTCTTTTCTTTCCCCTTCCACTTTTTCCCCCTCCCTGCATCTTTTGTTCCAATTCCCATTTGAAAAAGATCACCTTACTTCCTATTATCTTTTATTTTTCTCTTTATTTATATTTTGGGCTTCTCATATAAGAGATACTGTGCAATATTTAAGCTTGTATGTCAGATTTATTTCACTTAATATTACAGTCTCAAGGTGCATCCATTTACCTACAAATGCCTCAGGTTTATCCTTCTTTCTGATAAAGTAGTACTCCATTGTGTATAAATACGTTTTCCTTATCCATTCATCTTTTGATGGGCATATAGGGCATTTCCAAGATTTAGCTATTATAAATTGTGCTGCTATAGACATGAGAATGCATATATCACTACAATATGATGACTTTAACTCTTTTAGGAAGGTACCTTGTAAGGTAATAGCTGAGTTGAATGGAATTTCTATTTTTAGTTTTTTGAGGTATCTCCACAGTGATTTCCATAGTGATTGTACTACTTTACATTTTCACCAACAATGGAGAAGGGTTCCTTTTTCCTTGCTGTCTCAACAGCATTTGTTATTATTTAATTTCTTGATGGTGTAGCCATTTGTTCTGGAGTAAGATTTCTTGGTGTTGTTTTAATTTGCATGTTTCTAGTGGCTGATAATGTTGATTAAACACATTTCAAAATACTGCCCTCATCAAGTCTGGGTAGCATTGCCCTGCATTTAGGAAGAAATGTAAATTGCCTGCTCTTGTATACATTATATCCAATAGGAGAGGGTATTGAGAAAACATTAGGAAAAATTAGAGCAAGGAGCTGCTTTGTAGAAAGCATCAAACCCAAAATTATTTGTTAGCAGTTTGAAAAAAGTTCTTTAATTGGATAGAGACATTAATGGGATTTTATTCTAAAAATGTTTGACCCTTGGATTTGTGGTAAAGTTGAGAATACTTTCAAATAGCATTCCTCAGGAATGAATGGGATATCTTAATATTATGTTTATAGTAGCTGTTTTTTAATAGGGTGAGTCAATAGGGTCTTGATCTCCATATAAAGAAGGCAGATCTGGGGAGAATACACTAGAATGTGCCCCTTGTGGCTTCTTGTCTCTCAGTGACCCTTTCGTCCTGGTTTTCTAGGATTCTGCCCTCAGGCGTCATTTTTCATCTTCTGTACTGTCTCCCTGGAGAATCTGGCCACCCACTTGGACTTTGCATCCCCTAATAATAATGACTTCCAAATCCCAAATCTATAGCTTATGTCCCAAATCCCTGCCCTTTTCTCCTACCGTTCAGATTACATCTCCATGCTCCTGTAAGTTTGTGTTGTCTGTGTGGCTCAACCGAAACTGTCAACTTCCTTTTGAATGGCAGTACCACCTCCTACTCAGTTATTTCAGGTGGGAACTGTGACCACCACACTTTACCATAATTTTCTCTTAACTAGTGGTTGCCAAAGCACACTGATATTGAGCTGATCTCATGAGATTTTCCCAGGCAATTTGGGGTCTAGGCATGTGCATTTATTAAAAGCTCTCAATGTGATTCTGTGTATTTTGGAACTACTACCCTGGACCATTTCTAACAGCCAATAATTAAAATGGGGCTCAGGGCCAGCTGGTAGCTTGGTAACCTGGCAAGGTAGGCTACTGTGCATGGACACTTGGAAGTGAACTCTTTATGCTAGAAAAATCCTTATCTTGATTTGTGTAATACTTCAGGTATAATTTTTTATGAATACAGTTGCATACTTTTAGAAACGCTAATGTGACCTACATAGCTGTTTAACACCCTAATTAGTTCAGCATACATTTATTGTTTCTGGGCCGGGGATGTAATGGAAGTAAGAGAAGTGCACTTCAGCCTCATCAGTTTCGCAGTGTAATGGAACACACCATCCTTTTTTTTTCCTTTTCTCAAAGGTGCAAAATGACCTAACGTTGGAGAGTAATGGAAGCCAGTATTCTCCAGATGAGGTAAGTTTCCTGAAGATGAATGGAAGCTGAGGTACTCCATGAAGACTGAATTAGAATATCTTTTACAGAAATGTATAAACTAAGATTGTGATTAATGAGTTAATTGAAGAGATTCAGGGGGACTCTCATTAGCTGCCTCTCACTCTCGTTAGCTATCATAGCCTTATCTGGCCTTTTCAGTAATTAGGTTACTTTTTGTAAGAAACATTTTTGACAGCCAAATGCAAGAACATCTGTTGAAAACAGAATGGAAATCACTCAACTAGGCAACACTGAGAAAGTCTTCGGCATGTGGTTCCTGTAGATGAGACATCTGTCAGTGTTACTGTTTCCTCATCTCAATGAGTTAATGAAAGTCTTTGGTAGATGTGGCCTCTTTTGGATGTAGGTACACACATGCACCCATGCATACCACCATGCTGGAGGAGAAAGGGACTGTCACTCTCATAGGATTGCAAAGTACATTTGTAATGAACAAATAAAAAATTGAATGAGCCACCCCAAAACAATATTCTGTTGCTTATGCTGCTTAAAACATTTGCAAAGTGATTTTTTTAAAGCCAAGACTTCATCACAGCAGCAAATGCAAACAAAGAGTAGTATTATAGTCATCTTTGACCATAGAGAAGCATACGTAGTTCTACTTCTGATTTTTATTTTTGTTTTTGTTTTTTTTTTACCTAATTTCCTTTTCTTCTAACCTCACAGATGAGAGAGAACTCGCCCACAGTCTCTCCTACCATTAACAGCACAGCTCCATTTGGCCTGAAGCCTCGATCAGGTAAATTAAAGCCTCAATCCATTATATCATTCCTATATTAAATAAATTGGTAGTTTCTCCTTAGCCTTTATTTATTTTTATTTTTTTTTCTCCTTAGCCTTTAAATTTATCTGTGAACATTGTCAGTTCTGGTAAGCTCTATTCCTGACATCAGAACCAGATCAAAGACTGGAGCTATGATTTTAGGGAATCAGCCACTAGGTCCCTGCTGCCAGTAATGGATAGCTTTCCTTTTTTTTGAATCAGAGCAAAGGAGAAACCGTGGTGGGAACATGCAAGTGGAAAATAATAGGCTATTGAACTTTTTTACCCAAGGAAAATAAAATAGCTTTCTTTTGCCCCAGTAGTTCCTGATGTTGTGCTGAGCTAAAGGTTAACGGACTTCTTTCTCGGATAGCTCCAGTTGCTTTCTTAGCCTGGCAGGACCTATGTATTTATTCATGTAACAGAGTGATTACTTCAAGACTGCTTGAATGAACAGAGGTTATGAAAAAAAAATCTTATGGGAAAGCATTCTGCTTGTTGACCTAATTAGTGTATTCGCAAAAGTAAGTTCTAAAAAGAAGGACTCTGAATAGAAAAATGTGTTTCTTCTGATTTCTCCATTTATTTAAAGTTCTGATGCTATCTTCTTTTAGCTCTTCCTTTGCATTACTATTTTTGACTCTGGCATATAGCATTCTCACTACTAATGCTTTTAAGCAAGTGCAGGTGGAGAACTCAAACACTTTTAAGACAAAGCTGGAAGACAACTCAGATGTTCTTGGGTTTTCCAGTGAAGCATTTGACAATAGTAGAAGTTATACATGTGTTTAGTTTGAAAAAATGTACCCATGGGGGGAAAAACAAAGGTGATTCATTAATAAAGGAAATGTTTTTATTCTTGGAGCAAGTTGATTGATGGGCAACATGTGGCCAGGTGTATTTGTTTTCTGGGAATTTGAATGAGCTATATACAAAAAAATCTTTTGAGGAAGTGCTTAAGTGTGACAAGAGTTGGTAGATGTTTGCTTTTTGTTTTTGTGGTGCTGGGGATCAAACCCAGGCCCTTACACCTGCTAGGCAAGTTATCACTAAGCCACAGCCTTTGTCTTAGAGGGTATTGTATGGAGAGTCAAATCGTACATGAAATAAGACTCCAAAGCTGGCCTTCTCCATTATGGAATTAAGTGTGTGTGACCAGATCTGGGCTGTATGTCTACTTCCTGGTCTCGGTTGTGTGTTGGGAGAATGGAGCAAGTCCAGGCAGGCCTCCTCTGTGCCCTCAGTGGGGACCATGAGAGTCATGGCTCTGTACACTGAGGACCTCAGACTGGATTGCAGACTGTCTCTTGAGCCTCACAGGCAGTCTTACAGAATTTTAAAATATTTCATATTGAGCAAGTCGAAAGCTAAAGGGATCTCCAAAGAACAATTTCTTTTGAATGTGCAGTCTTGAAATGTAATTGTAAAATTGTTTGGGTGACTTTTTTATTTCTTTTATAAAGTCCAGTTAAGTTATCAGATTAAGTTACTATCACTGTAAACCATTTCAGATTCTTTGTAGTGGTAAGAAATAAAAGTAGGAATTATTTTGAATAGCAGAAAATAAAGATTATATCTTCTCCAAGCTTCCAGTGTGTGGATTGAGATTGTGCTAGTTGTTGAAAGCCTTGTGGAGTTTGTTGCCAAAAATAATGTTGGTTTATCTTCAGGAACATCAACTGACATTGGAATTTTATAAAATTAGCATTATGTATTTGGATTTTAAGATTTTATGTAGTAACATAAATATTATATTATGTATTTTTCATATTTTTGCTGGAAAATAATTCATAGTGTATCTTAACTGGAGATCATATGATTAAAAAGTCAGAATAAGAATTTAGGTTCTTAACATATTTTAATAGTTTTCTTCAGAAGAAACATTTTTTCTCTTCCATGTTTTCCTCCCAAGGAGAGATAGTGTGTATATGCAAATATTTGTTCCTAGAACCACATTCATTAACTTTACCTGTCCTACCTTATGATCTAATAAAAGAATTATATAGAATACTTCCTAAATATAAATATCCTAAATAAATATGTATATTTGGTGTAAAGTAAGACATGTTATCATTTCATAAATAACAAACTCAGAAATTCTTGAAATTGATTGGGATCTATCTTTTGGTTAGATAGATTTATTGTTAAACATACTCTATTGCTGTCCAAAATTGTTTTTGTTTTTATTGAACAATGTCTAAAACTCGTTGATTGAGATGTACGATGTGGGTTAAAGAAGAGTTGGTTAGATTCAACTCTCCATAAAGCATACCAGACTTCTTTAAAACAAAATTCCACCTTGCCTTGGGGAAAAAAAATTCACTAATAGTAAACAAGGATTCTGTTTTATTTCCAAATGATAGGTATACTTATAGATGTTTAGCTTTTTCCTCCACAACCAAACTTTTTTATGTGAATCATATAATTGTATTTTCTAAGAGTGTTAGTTGTGCAGAAAGTCTTCAAGAAAGGTATCTGGTAGGTCTGTATATAACCTATGGGTGCTCTTTCTTTCCACTGAAACGACTCATTAGTACTCAAGTCTGCGGGCTTGCGGAATTGTTAAGATTAACGATATTAACTGCATGCAAAATATTTGACTGATGAGTACTAACACTCAGTTTTTATCATTCTTTTTATTCCATATGCCATCTTTCATTCTCCTCCTGTATTGTACATTTGCAATTAAATCCCATATAAATGAAATCCACTTCATTTCCATACAAACCTTATGCCATTTGTGAAATGCTGCGGCCCTTTTGGTTTTCCCTGGTCCTTGTGCAACTATTTGCGGCCTGGCTCTCTCGCTCTCCTGCCGACCCAGACCTCATTCTCCCTCCTATCTCCTTCAACAAACTTACACAGGCACAAACATGGGACAACTCTAGCTACAGTGTTCCCTCTGAAGGAGACAGTGACAATGGTAGGTGGTTTTGTACCTCTTCTTCAATGTTCTCATTAATAAGCCAGTGAATATACTGAACATTTCTTTCTCTGTGGCTAAAGATAGAGTATATTCACTTGCATGCTTGTTACACGAGACGAGATGCTGAGTCAGCCTAGACAGTGAAGTCCCCCAAAATGCATGTGAATTGTTTTCTAGCACTTGATCAAATTATAGTTTAATTATCTTGAGCACTCTGATTTGGGGGAGGATTTTACAATGCTTTCTTCTCTACCTATCCTGCTTGGGTTTTTTGTTTGATTGCTTGTCTACACAGATTTGGGGTTTGCACATTTGAATTATCTCTGCTTGCTTTCACACATGTAATAAATGCTTTAAGAGTTTGATCTTTTATTATCTATGCTTACCACATGAGATTTAAAGGTAATTAAAACATACTGTGGCTGATCCTAGAGTGTTGCACTGGAAATGTTGGAATGAGGAATTTTTAAAACTGAACAGAAGTCAATTGCTTTCTTTTTAAAAACATTATTTGCACATTTTGACTTTTGATGCCTTCTGGATTATAAATTCAATTGTATAATATTCAAGAATAATAAATCAATGAGAGATTAATACATGCAAATTAGAAATTGAGGACACTCAGTTATGATTAATGTGGATATCTTCATTTTGTGGCAGTAAATATATAAAGTAACTGTTCAAGAGATAAAAATAAAATAAATATAATTATTTAGCTCTGTGTACCATATATATCTGAATCTGCACTCTAGTCTAACCCTAGTTCAGGTCTTAAAAATTCTGCTTCAAAATACAAAGTGATAGAAGTAATATTAAATGAAACAGTGTGATTTCTAGGGAAGCAAGTGAAATGTGAGCTACAACCATGATTCAAATACAATAGGAAGATTATATATATATTTTTTTCTTTTTCTTGTTTTTGTAGTACTGGGGATCAAACTCAGGACCTTATGTTTGCAAGGCAGGCCCAATGCCACTGAGCTAAATCCTCAGCCCAGGAAGATATATTTTGATTATACAACAGTCATGAAATAAAAGTCCCTCCTCATATATCATTCAGCTTTCAGTGCTGGAAATTGAAGAGGGCTAAATGAAACTTGATAAACTGTTTCTTTATTAAAAATAAAAAATAAATTTTAGAAAAGGGAGAATTTTGTTTTTCAGAAAGTATGGCTATTTATGGGTATGATGTTGTCTAAAGGAAATAAAGCTTAATATGAAAGATTTATGAGTGATTCGGTATTTCCTTAGGATTGATGTCTGAAACCAGAGCACTTGTTTTTAAGCAGGCACAGACTTAAACATCTGAGTTTCTGTCCTTATAGATGATCTGACTAAAACCGCAAAAGTGAGGTGAGCTGCCTGGTCACACTGTTAGGCCATACTCAAGGCTCCTAACTCTGGAATGTCTCCTCTCAGACTAATCTACAGATGTTTACTGAGGTCTCTGTGTGCAAGATACTAAGCCAGGCTGCCTTCTTTTAATTAAAATATTTGAGATTTCCATAGCAAATAATCACTGTGAAAATCTTTCTAGAAAGAAAATAACCTCTCATTAGTGGCTGGTATTTTTTCTATGCATGACAATTCCAGGAATTCATATGTGCCTGTCACACTGTTCCACAATGATAATAGAAGGCTTGTTTTCAGTATTCATTCTGCTCGGTCAGTCATGTCTGATGTTTGGTGGTTGTCATTTTTCTCTCTTTGCAGTTTGTAATGTGCCTTAGGCAAGAGGTGATTTTCTGTACAGAAAATGTTCTTTACAAAAATATTGGTGCAGGTTCTCAGATCTGATCTTTCATGCACATCTCTGTTCTTTTTGTGCTAAACATTGCCTTGTGATGTGAATATGTTTTCTAATACACTTTTTAAATTAAAGAAGTACTATATCTCCACAAGTAGATGAGCTGATGTCGCAAGAGGAATCCAGCCTACCTTGTATGTTGCAAATGCTTCCTTCTGAGTAGAAAGTTCTACTCCATTGTCTCTCTTGGCAATTTCAAAATTGATTATGACATCACTTTTGTTTCCTTATATTTTTTTCCATTATCCAATATCTGCAGCCCTCTCAACCTTTGGAAATGAGGGACATCTTATCACCAACTTAAGATAATGTAACTTACTTCTTGATTTTTTAAGACTTGGCATTTTTATACCTTGTTCACTGCCTCGCTTCATATAAATATTCTTTTATTTTACTTCCATCCCATGTTTTATTCCATATCTATCTCATTTTAAACTCACCATTTTCCCTATCATTTGTTCTCCAAAGAGCCATTTTTAAAATGCAAACTGGGGCAGATCTTTGGGAGTTTGGATTTCCACAGTTCCCAGAGTTGTGCTGCCTTGGACGGATGAAGGCAATTGTGGACGTTCATCTGGAGCTCTGCCTCCCTCAGGCACTGGATGGGAGGTTTTATCTCAGTTTATTTTCAACCTGAAAACTTGCCCTCTGCTCCTTCCCTTGCTCTTACTCCCTCTTATGATTCAGTCTCCTTTTCCCCTTTACTTTGAAGTTAATACCTTTCCCATCTTCTTTTGAATCATTTTTGCTTTTTCATTTGTATTGAATCATTGGGTGCTAATTTAGGCTTCATTTTTAAGTTATTGTCTGAGAGGGAATGAATGGACATAGGCATCTTGGCCAGCTCACAGACATTTTCCTTAATTATTTTTTACAATAATCCTGCACTAAGGTATTATTCCCTATGTTTCAAAAGTGAGGAAACTGAGGGCGTGAGAGGATTTTTTTTCTTTTTTTCAGTTCTCAACTCTGACTTCATATTACAATTGTCTTGACCCCAGATTCAGAGAAGCTAATTTATTTGATATAACATTGCGTATAAACACTGATCTTTTTTTTAACTGCTTTTTATGTTGCATGTGGTGCAGGTAGGTTTGAAAACCACTAGATTAAGTAAAATACCCAAGAGCCTAGAGAGGGGATTTGAGCATTTCAAAAGCAGAAGATATATATATAATTCCTTTTGGTACCAGAAGGAAATGAATGAATCAGCTTGTTAAATTTTTAACTCACAGCCTAAAACTAAAGCTCATGATTTCTTTCAAAGCCACCATATTTCTACCCTTGAACATGTATATCTTTTTCTTTCTTTTTAAAATTTGTGGTGCTTAGAATAGAACCAAGACCTTCACATATGCTAGACAAGTGCTGTACCATAGAGCTACATCCCCAACTGGATTTGTGTAGCATAAACATCACACCAGTCCAGGATCTTAACTTGCAAGAATGTGAGAACTATATTTCAAAACCTCTTTTTCCACAAAGAAGAAATTACCCTCTAATTTGGTTAAATTTAGGTAATGAGGGTTAATAATATAGATTGATGATTTTTATAAAAGTATAATTCATGTAATAATCAAATGATAAAATGCTTTTCAGCCATGTTTTAGAGCAGTAACCTTTTATTCTTTGTTTAAAATATATTCTTACAACAGTTAGAGAAATCATCGTTTGTACGCAACCTTAAATATCTATGGAGTGCTTACTATGTGCCAGCATGATGCTCATGATGGATACGACTCTGAAAAAGATAGACACAATGTCAGTTCTCATGACTTTGGAGTCTACTGCATTCAGACCTGGAGACTGATATTAGGAGACTTTCTATGAGAGGAAAAATTCAGATCACTTAACCTTAGGGACAAGATAATTTCTGCAAAGGTGACCTTTACATAGACTGATCTTTGAATGAGAGAATTTTGAAAGACTAATTTCATTTTTTCATTAGCAAATTCACACTGCCCAACTCACTACTTTGTGGGATAGGGCAGAGGATACAAAGCGGAGACAAACATATGTTCTTAAGGTTTCATAATGGAGAGAAATATATTTATACTGTAATGTAAAAAGTGATGAGTGCTATAAGAGGCACGCTGATAATGAATTTTGTATGTCCTAGGAGAGAGGAATAAAGATAGTGAGTTGAAGCTGGGGATTTAGCTCAGTGGTGCCATGCCTGCCTCAAAATCTCAAGGTCCTGAGTTCTATCCCAGGTACCGAAAAAAAAAAAAAAGATAGTGAATGAAGGAAAAGGTGGTGATAATGGAAAAATCAGTGGAATTTGCAAGGTTGATTTTTATATATTCTGCATAAGTGTATTTATCATTTCTTCAGAGCTGTGCTTAGAAATTGGTGTCTTCTGCTAAACAAATTGCATATATGAGCAAGTTTTTTCTATTTAAAATACTATAAATTTGCTTTATAAAAAGCAGTTAAGAAGGACTCTTTTTGGGGGGGGGCATCTTAAATCATCTACCCCCTTTCCTGTGTGCACACACATACACACTGCTCTCTTGCCCCTTATTTTCCTGTTTACATTGAAACAGTCAGGGTAGCATTTGATATGAAAAGCAGGTGCTAACAACAAGGCTGTCTTTAAATATTGCCCTGTAGCCTCAAATTGAACTTTTATTTCCCTGAATTAAGTAAGAGTTCTTGAAATGTATGGTAGAGATATGGAATTAACAAAAAACAGAGTAATTTTTCCATGAATCAGTTTCCTGAGGTTATGGCCCAGATTGATCACTGGGTTTATTATTAAATATTACTTGAAAAAAATCACAAGGAATGTAATTATAGCTACCTTAGTACTCTAAGTAAAATTATTCTGTCATAACAAAACTAGAAAAAAAAGCTGGCAAATTTATTATTAGCCTAAAGAGTTTGTTTTAAATTCTCATCTATTTCATGGAAATTAATATACTTAAAAAACTAGTAGTTCTGTAATCATGATTTCTAATAATTTCATGTACATTTAAAGCCTTTGTGTTAAAAACTACTGTTCACATATTTCTAAACATTTTTGATTACTTAACATTCAAAGAGAAAATATCCAAACATGCATGTTGTAGTCTTAAGATGCACAGGCATTTAAAATGAAAAGTAATGCTAGGAAATTGAAGTGCAGACACCAGTGCATTATCTTGAGCGTCCTCACAGGGCTCCAATAAAGCATAAATGCTTGAATTATGAGCTGTTAAAAGCTCCCAGTTCATGAAACTTCCTGATAGTTTCATATTCAGAGTGAAAACTGCCAATAAAAACATATTGAAAATATTAAATATGCTGTATGAGATAAGAATACCCTAGAGAAAGGTAAAGGACAATAAAACCTCCAAAGAACACATGAAGTTTATTTCAGTGATGTTGGGGCGCCCCTTGCCTGTGTATATGTGTATTACCCAACTCTGTCCACATTCCTTGACATTTTTGGTAAATGTGGTTGAATTGTTTTGTTTAGGAGACACAGATTATTTCTAAATTTTACATCTTAATACATTTATCTTTGAATTGCTGTGCTTCAGTGGGTAGATTTTTTTCTTTTGCTCAAGATGGTCTAAAGGCAAATTTAATGAACTCTCAAGTTGTTTCCGTCCGTCCTAAATTTGTCAAATTTTCCCTCATTTCCCTTGGCTCTGTGAACTCTTCATCTCTCTTTGCCTGGTCACGCTTTCCTTCTGTTGCTGGCTTTGCTATTTTTTAAGCAATCGGTCTCACTTTCTGTGGGCTTTGGCTTTCTTTGTGAGCCTCGGTGACCAGCCCTCCTCTGACAAGATGCCCTTCGCTCTCTTTGCCTGGGACTTCCCTGGGTGGTGTCCTGTGGAGGCCCAGGCCACAGGCTGGCTCTGCTGGAAATTCCAGAAGGAAAAAGGCCTTATGCATATTACTAGATCATCCTCTTTCTCCATTAACTGGGAGTCAAGGATTTAAGATGTGTCAACTTGCCGATCTTCCCTAGAAATTCAGAATGCTGATTCAAATATCCTAGAACTGATATAAGAAGAAAATCCAAAGGGACAGATTGAGATTACAATGATGTAGTTAGGTGAGCACAGGATATTTAATTATATGGAGTGGACTCAAGGCTGTTCATTCAAGATGTTATACTTGTAAAACATTTAATTTTTAAAAAATCGAATTTTGAATTTCTAAAATGGCCCATAGGAAAATCTTTATCAAGATAGAATAAAAGTTGCATATTCTGCTTCTTTTTGATTGTTCAGATTATACTGAGGGAAACTACTGTGATTATAGTTTGCCAGTGCAACTTTCTGTGTGGTTTTTTAACACTGGAATTCTTTGCCCAAAAATTCTTAAAGGTCTCCCCTATGCTCCCCAATCTGAAAATCTATAGGATGGAGGAGGAATCAAACACAGCTCTTAGCAGCTCTTTGTTCCCACTTGTATACATGGAAAGTTGACAGTCTAGGATAAAAATCTCTAAGAAGGAAAAAAATCAAGTTTAAATCTTCTTTGGGCTTTGTATCATGAAAAATCAATTAAAATAGATTTTTTTTTGCCTTCTTGATTGATCTTTGAAGGATATTATCCTCTAGAAGTTAATCTTACATGACTGTTTGTGGAGTACTTGGAACTGAACCTAGGGCCTCCATAGGCAAGGCAAGTATTCTACTTCTGAAGTACATCTCCACCCAAGAGAACATCTGGGAGTTTTCTATTTTGTGTTGGTTTGCTTTGATTTTGGTTTCTTACACTGGAAATTGAATTCAGGTCCTTCACACTCAGCTACATCAATAGCCCATTTTATTTTTTATTTTGAGGCAGGGTCACACTATTTCACTAAGTTGCCCAGGGTGGCCTCAAACTTTCAGTCCTCCTGCCTCAGCCGCCCAGAGTGCTGGGACTATAGGCATATACTTTAATTCCTTCAACAGGAAGCATTGTTATTAGATACTATCCTCAGAGGTTATAACTTTAAGAACCTAAAGCCAATGATGATTTCTTAAATTGCCTCTAATCCCACCAGCCTTCCTGAAAGCAGTCTGTGTCATCTCTAAAGAGCTGGCTTCTTGGGTACTTGGTCACTGACACGATAAAAGGCAGCCTTTTTCCATGCAACACTCAAATAGGTAATCTTCTCTATCATCACTTAGCTTTTACTTAGGCTTACAAAAATGTTATGCTAACAAAAACATTAATCTACACTTATTTTTAACATGCAAAGCAATTCTAGCATCTGCTTGAGATAAATTATCTGAATTCAATGAAGGAATTTGGATACAAATTAAAATTTAGAATGAAGACGGTGGAAAAACTAAAGAGACAGAGTCTGTCCAAGAAGTAGCCTGTAATGGTCTCCACAGTGACTCAGACTCTTCCCTGGGTTCAGGTTATTGCCACAAAGAAATACAACCCAATATAATTTAAAATACAGTCTCCTTTAGAATATTTGATTCAAGCTTTTCCTGTGAACTCAGAATTTCTTTGTTTCTCTGAATGGTAAATAAATTATTTGGGATGAATAAAGAGATTATTTGTTTAATTTAAATATGAACAGCCCTGTTTGTTAGGCAACTTGTGCAAGGCCAAATCTAAGGGATTGTCTTCCCTTTCTGTTATAGTGTTTCTAAGACCTCAGAGAAATCTGGAATCCATAGACCCACAGTTTACTATTCGGAGAAAAATGGAACAGCTACGAGAAGAAAAAGAACTGGTGGAACAACTCCGTGAGGTACTCAAAAAATGCTATATAACTGAATAATAATTTTCAGATTGAAGCAGCATTTCATATTTTTAAAAAAATAGACTTTGAAGCATTGCGAATGACAGTAGTTTCAAACCTAGTTAGGTCACTTACTGACTGACATTGGGGAAATCACTTAATAATCCCATGTATCAGTTTCTTCATGTACTAAAAACATAGTTCTAATCTATTTTAGTGGGGTCTTGAGAAAAATACAAGAGGCTGTAAGTAGAAATAATACAAACTTATAAATACTGATATTATTTCAATTCTGGTGTACTTTAAATGATACACTGTCATTTATTTTCTTAATAATAATATTCCATCAATTAATTTAAAGATGTTTGTAATTGTCCTCAACAGGCAGACCATTTGAGTTCCTCCTAAGGATGAAGTCTTAAAATGGAGGCTATTGACAATTTTAATCTTGGTAATGGCAGGGACTAGGACTGATTAGTTCTTCATTGTAACTTTTAGTTTCTGGTGGGGGGGACTCTGTAGGTATTTGTGTACCCTTACAGTCTTTTTGTCTAGTTAGGAAGATTACATATGGAAGGTAAAATACTGCAAGAAGCCATGACCAAGGAAGAAGACATTGGTATTTGTAACTAAAGACAGAAAATTATGAATTATAATTTAAGTTCTTTATATTCAAGGCAAAGTACCAGTTATAACTCAGAAGAGGATAAAAAAAACTTCTTCTCCAGGTCTCCTTTCACCACTCTCTTTCAAGTATTATTCTGGGTGATGCACATAGGTGAGAACAAAAAAACACCTTACTCTTATGAAGCCTGTAGAGTATTGGAGATACTAAATAAGAAAAGAAAGAGAAAGAGAGAAATACAGAATGTCAGATAGCAATGGAGTCTGCCAAGGTATGAAAAAATCCTATCAATAAAGTTTAAATTAAATTAAGGTAGATCATCATCTCTGTTTTTACAGATGATACTTCCTTTTTGGTTTAGCAGATAAGGAGGGCAGGATTTAAAAGACAAGCATTTAATAAAGTCACTGGGGTTAATTCATAAGCACAAAGAGAAACTCAGACCTGTTATTTGCCCAGAGGATTTGAATGTGCTGTAAACTTGAAAGATAAACTTTTCAGGATACATGAAAATAAGATTAAAGTTAAGGTCTCTTAATGAGCGATATCTCACAATGTCATCTTAAACCTGGGTCATACTACTTATTTATGCTTTAATTTAGTGAGATAAAATAGAGAATGAAGCAGTGCCTAAAAAGTTATACAGCCGTTCTGAAAGAGATTTCTATAACCCTATTACATGCACTATTTTTCAAGTTTTCATTTATTAGAAATCACCAAATTAAGCTATCCATTCTTAGGTGATTGTCTAGTTTAAAAGAGCTTCTGTTGCAAACCAGAAACTTTCCTTCAAGATTTTAAAATTGACTTCTTTACTTCTGCTACTAAGAAGATTGAGTAGACATGTTTTCCTACTCCTCCCCTAAAATCCTTATGCAGTGTTTATAAAACCAACCCTAAAAGGACAGAAGAGGGCAGGCTGGCTCAGGACTTGAGGAACAATGTGGTAATGAGCTCCAGGAGCTTTCTTGTCCTTGGATGTGTCAGACTTGGAGCTGAAGGAACTAGAAACACTAATGGGCTCATATTTTTAAAGAAGGAGAAAGCCTTAACAAAAGCCTGCTTCTTCTAGCCAGACAACCAGGAAATGGGCAATCTCTCAAGACAGAAAATATTTAGACAAAAAATGCCCTGCTCCAGCTGAACACCAAAGGAAAGATTAGTGGTCCCACCCTCCCCACTCTAGCAAAGGCCAAGTCAGGAGGCGGGACTTGTGCCCCACAGGGTTGATGTCAGAGAAGGCAAAATTGGAGCCAGAATTTCATACCCCTCTGCTTCCACAGTGCCATTGGGAGAGCATCTCTCCCCAGCTGGAAGAAAACACACCCCTACCCCAAGCCCCTGGCCACCAGAGACCAAGAGAAAAACCTAGACTTCTACACTGATCTGGCAGTAATGAGATGAAATTCTACCTTCACTGTCAGAGTGATATCCAAAAATACAGACAGCTGAATGAAACAGGTTTAAATATGTTCAAGCGTCTCTTAATATGGCACAAAACAAAAGATGTTCAGGCTTTGATAGAAAATCATTCACCACACCAAGAACTAGGACAACCATAAACCAAGTGAAAAATGACAATTCACAGATGGTAGCCCTGACATGGCAGAGAAGTTACAAATTACTGACGAAGGGATTAAAGCAACCATGACAAAATAACTTCACCAAGCAATGACAAATATGGTTGCAAGAAAGGAAAAGGGAACCTAGGGCATCTCAGCAGTGAAACAGAAGAGCAGAACTACAAAGAAGAGACAAATGGAAATTTAGAACTGAAAAATACATTATCCAAAATAAAACGTCTGGTGGATGGGCTCCATGGCAGAAGAGAGGAGACAAAGGAAAGAACTGGAATGGAGGTTACAAAGGAAATAAAGAGAAATGATCTAATATGAACAACAGAGAGAAAACAGACTGAAAATCAATGAACAGGCCTCGGGGAACTATGAGAGTGAAACAAAAAATTTAAACTCATGTCATGGGAGTTGCAGAAGCAAAGGAGAAAGAATATGGGGCAGAGAGTGTTTTTAGGATGGGGAGCAGTGGGTGTGGCATAAAAGGGCAGCATGAGGGATCTTTGCAGTGTTGGGAATGTTGTCCACCTTGACTCTGTTCATGTTAGTATTGTGGTGGTTTTGCAAGTTGCTGCCGTTGGAAGAAACTATGCAAAGCGTAGATGGAATCTCTCTGAATTATTTCTTACAACTGCATATGAATCTAGAATTCCTCAAAATTAACAGTTTAATCTTTTTTAAAAAGACTAATTGATATCTCAATAAAATGTAGTCATTGAGAAAAGCATCCCTTTATCCCTCTTCTACCCCATGAAGGATTCATTGTATGTTTTCATATCAAGGGCTGAAAAAACTTGAACTCAAGAGTGATTCTGTCATTCTTTTAATTCTAATTTTAAAATTTGAGATACAATGAAATTTGGCTCTGTACAGGGGGATTTTGTGTATTGTTTGAAAAAAACAAATGATGTCAGTGTTTTCTGAGCATCCTTATTCTTGTCTCCAAAACGAAACTAGTGGCTCAATTCATAAATACTTGCAGCTGCATTTTTTTTTTTGCCCTGAAGAGTGTCCATAGCTACTGGCTTTCTTCTTTCACAGAGCATAGAGATGAGACTGAAGGTCACTCTTCATGAAGACCTGGGAGCCGCACTCATGGATGGTGTTGTGCTCTGCCACCTGGTCAATCACATCCGCCCACGGTCTGTTGCCAGTATCCATGTACCCTCCCCGGCAGTTGTAAGTAACACCATATAAAGGGTAGCTAACTCTAACGTGAAACACTCTTCTTAAGAAGACAGTGTGGTCAGTTAAGAATGCCAGTGTGACAAATAGGCCCCCTGCTCCAATCCTTTCTTTTGGGCCCCAAACAACTAGAAGAACAAATCACAGGAATGAGTCTGAATGAAACAACATTTTCACTAAAAAGGGAGAATATTAAAGTAAATATGTAGATGGCTGAAAATAGCTTTATTTCAGATATCAAATTTAAAGAAATTACTGAAATTACTGCTAACTTTAGGACTGTAGAAATGTAAAGATCCACTTTTCACATAGGGTTATTTAAACAGTGAGAAGTCTTTACAGAAAGCTCCTTTTGGTTGATAGCGTTCCTTCAACATGGGATCTCTTTCTTTTATTGTCATTGGGGATTTTAGAATAGTCTTGTAAAGATGTGCAGTCTATGGAAAATATTGTGACTAACCTGTTAAGCCAGAGGTCAGTCAGCAAGACACGAATTAGACTCCTTCATCATACTGTGCTCAGGGACTCTTTGAAGATGGTAGAAAGGTGGGGAATAGGACCCCACTAACGCCCCCTAAAGCCTCATCCTCCCTGATAAAACCTGCCTGTAAGATCCTCGTTCTAGATACCACAGAAGAATAATTTCTACTCAGTTTTTTCTGTGTGTTGGGAGAAGCAGAAGAATTTAGGGGCTAAGAATATAAGGTTTGGATTAAAATTCTGGATGTACTTCTAAAAGCCATATGACTTTGGGGCAAATTATACATCCTGTCTCTAACTCAATTTGTTCTTCTCTATAATGGACGTGTTCTTAAGAGGAGGCTATTCACATAAATATGAACCATTCGTGTCATTAGTGCTTATATAGAGCACATTTTAAAAATTCAGAACCTCTCATCTCAAGGTACTGTATAGTGTTTGTAAGATGCAGTACTTTCGCATGTTAAGTGAAAACTGTTGAGATACTCTCTTCTCCCTCTCTCTTCCCCAGGAAGGCCTCATTATGGTATTATTTATCCTACATTTTTTTCTCTTGGAACCAGAAATACTATTTGATGATTCCATTTCAATGATTTCCTTTCTGTAATGTTGAATATATTTTTCCTCTGAAAACCTTGACTCTTTTCACCTCAGAAACATACAGCAAATAGACTGCTTTGGCTCATCTTTCAGATCTCCTCTGGAAGCCTTAGTGTGGGACACTAAATTCCATCCTGTAATCCAATCTGAAACTTTCCAGACTCTGTTACAAACAGGGTTCAGACTGCCGTAAAATTGCCTGAGCCATATGCAAAATTCTTCTTTAATTATTTTTCCCAAATTCTGTGAGAAACACTACGGACTCTTCAACCTCCCACTGGAATATACAACTATCATTTCATAAGAACTCTTTTATAAGGTGTTAAAGGACACAATCAATATATACTTTATATATTTTATTAATTTTTTCAGGGAAAATACTATAGTATTTTAGAAATCATTTGTTTTTATATCTTTTTAAAAATTTTTTAAATTGAAAAATTAATGTCTGGTTGGAAAAAATAGAGAAAAGAGAGAAAAACAGAAGAATAAGTTGGCCTTTATCTTACACTCAAAGACAACTATCGTTAACCTTTTATCTTCTTTACTGTTAACATTTTCTGTATTTTTAATTAGGGCTTCTTATATATACCATTTAGTGGTATTTAAAAGTTATTATTAAAGCTTAAGTATTCCCTGTCATTAAAATTTTTCCTAAATATCTGTGTTAATAACTGTAACATACTTTAGTCTATGCTATAATAGTGTTTCTTTTTAGAAGTGCAGTTTGTTTCTAAGTGTCCACTTAACAAAAATTCTTCATCTTGAAGCTATTTTTGACAGCCCAGCCATGCTGTAGCCATAGAACCTGCTTCCTGTCACTGCTCTATGACAGTACCTCTCGACTCCAGTCAGGCATAGGCAGCTGTCTGCCTAGAATACTGCTCCTGACCCTGCCCCACATCTTGGCCCTTCCGCATCACTATCGTCCAATTTCCTCTGCTTCAGTTCTTTCAAGGAGGCAAACCATCCTTGACCCCTTAAAACTGGGTCCTTTTGCAGTTTGTATTTTCCCTTACAGCAACCCCATTACAACTAAGAACTATCCTGTGTTATATTACAGTTTCCTTTGCCAACTATGCTACAGCTAAGTGATGTAAGAGTTGTGTCTTTTGATTCCACAGTTTTATCTTTAGCACCAAGACCAGTGTCTGGCACATAGTGAACAATAAGTACGGTTGTTTGCCTCATCAGCACTAGGTGAGAGTGCCTTTCCTTGCCAGCATTAACCATTCTAACCTTTCATTCCTGAAAGTAATGTCCATTTTTTACTCCAAGCTGAGAGAATATAATGGTGAACAGAATCACTGTTATTGCCCATATGCTAAAAGACCATTCCTTAGAAAAATGAATATTTTCAGTTTTTGAGAATTTGATAAGCAAAACATTGGCATCTCAATTGGTATAACTTTTGATTCTTTGACCAATGGTGACAATTCTTTAACCAATATCTAACAATTAAATATTGTATTTGTTGCAAGAACTTTTCTATTTAAAGCTACAATCTTAGAATAGGTCCTCCCTCAATTTCAGAGATGGGAAATCATTGGTCTATAGATTGAAACATGCCATCTATTGGCTTGTTCTGGGCTGACCTAAGTATTTTGATTTTTTTTTTCTGGTACTGGGAATTGAACCCAGGACCTTGCACTTGCCAGGCAGGCAGGGTGCCACTGAGCTATATCCCCAGTCCTAAGCATTTAGAATAATGTGAAGCCTCACTGGACTTTCACAGAAGACCCCCTCAGAACTATAAGTAGATGACAGAAGACTGTGGGCCCAAAGGATCAGAGACAAAAGCTGAGATTTCCATGTGATGAAATGCCTCTTGGTGCCCTGTCTGCCTCATCTAGAACCTGCTCTTCTGTTATTCCCATGTCCCTTCCTCATGTCTGTTCTTCCTTTTTGCATGGGCTTCACTTTTGCACGTGCTCTGATGTGCTAGGGGGATGGCAGAACCACCCAGGCAGCTGCTTGGCTTGTCTTCGTGCAGATCACGATGGGGGTATAACTTCCTCCCTAGCCAACCAAGATGGAGAATATTTGTTAGGCCTCCATGTTATTCCACATAGCAACAGACTTACTTTCTTTTGTGTAAAGGGAGGCATTTTAAATAAATTTTTAAATAAATACTGTGAAGATTTAGATTTTAATGTTGATAAGATTAGAGTCACTTCACTCTCACTTTTAACAGGATAAAGTCAATCTTTATAAAGCATGGCTTCTGTGCTATGTTGGATCTGTCATGCTTCTTGCTTTCCTTTCTAAGGAAACTAATCATAGAATATTAAAATTTATCAGGAAAGTATTTCAAATTTTGCCATGTCTACTCTTTTAATAATACATTATTTCTGTATATTTGCATTTTACAGCCCAAACTTAGCATGGCTAAATGCAGAAGAAATGTGGAAAACTTTTTAGAAGCATGCCGAAAACTAGGAGTACCAGAGGTAACATCAAACTTAGTTCAAATAACCATATTTTAGTAAAAATTGTGTCTATGTGTTTGAATCATTGAATAGATGTAACCCTTGTACATGTATTTTTAGTCTCATTCTTTCTCAGAGACTAATCTTAAATATATTGTATAAAATTTTAATTTAAATTGCTCTATTGTAGCAAAATTAAAATAACTACACTATACATTCATTTCTAAGAACAAAGGGAAAATAATATAAGATTTTGAAATCTGAAATTCCACACTTGCAAACAAATTAATCAGCTAGATTAATTAGAATCAGTAGCTTCTTTAAGAGCAGAAAGTGATGAGGCTTTGAGTGAGCAAGAATTTTGGAGCTGATGTATTCCCTATTCAAAACTCCTACTCAGACTGTAGTTACCTCCTAATTGTTGATTTTCATTCATTGGAGTTTCATTTTGAGTATGTGAATCAAACTAACCAACGCTATATACTACAATTATTCTTATCACTAATGACAATTTTATTTGTTGCTTTATAGTTTAACTATTTATATTTGCATTTTTCTCTTTTAGTTAGCTGTAGGCCCAGATGGCAGTTATCTGTAGCTAGCCCAACTCTTTGTTGTCTTCCTCTTTCCCTTTCCCAGGCGCAGCCCCAGCCTTGCTCTCAGAAAAATGGTTGATTCCAGGGCTTTGAAAGACTTTGCTGTTAGTAACATAAAGTAATTTTTCAGAGGCACATGGGCCAATTCATTCAGAATTTGGGGGTACTATATAAATGGAGAGAAGTTTCTCATCATTGTGCTAAACACAAATGGGTAGAAATTATATTTATGACTTATGCCCCAGGGATAAAGTAACTTAATCTATCATGGAATGACTCTTTTTGAGTATGTGAAAGAAATACATTTCAATTTAAGTCTACTCAGCGATAGGAGTTATTAAAAGTGAAAAAGGCTTTTGCTCCCCTCTTAACATTTCTTTCTTCTCAACTATTTTTTAGCTTGTTGTAGTTCAGGCGTGGGTGGGTTAGTGGTAGAATTCTAACGTTGTTTGAGGAAAAAGAGAACATTGTTAAAACATCCTTATGTCAGAACTGTATCAATAAAAGAAATAAATTCTTTTTTTAAAAGAGTAGTTTTTATATGATGGACTAAATGTCTGTGTGATCCTTTCGTCTTTCAACGGTGTTAATCTATGTATCTATATTATATGTACATATTTTAATATTGTATATACATTCTTGGCTTCATATATTTGTGAAACTACTTACCTTTTCTAATGACTTAATTATGTCATGGACCAATAAGTAATTTTTCATTTGTGAATGCAAACTCTCATGCCAAGTTCTGGATGATAAATTATTCATGTCTCTGCTAGATAGCACTGATGAGCTATGATTTAAGCCCCTGTGCTTATTTTAAACTCATCAATGTTTTTTTGGCTTATAATGATACAAAATGAGATAGGTATGCCCTTGCCCATTTGAGTAAAAGTCAGTAATTGCAATTTCTTTTTTTAATTAAGAAAAAGGCAATTAAATTTTTTAAACACAGAGCAAAATTTATCATAATTTCTGAATTATTCCCCTAGCAGTGTCTCTTGCATGTATAGGCAACTATAATTCCCAAGAAAGTTGAAATAGAGGAAATGAATGAACTTTTCTTCCAATGTCCCAGTTAACTATGCTTAGTAAAAAGTATGTCATATGTCACTTAGGATATTTTTGAAATCATTTTTAAGATTTTAGGTGATTTTCAAGTCTTCAGTTGTGTGTATTTGTATGTGTATGTACTTTCCACCATAATGGATAGTGCAACAGCAGTTTACTGGTGTCTAGAGTTACTTTAAGGTCACTGCTAGTAGAAAAAGTCTATTAGTACTTGAAATTCTTGAGTGAGAATGTTAATGTAAACAAAAATTCTAGTGAAAAACCATAAATTCAAAAGCAATTTGGAAAAAAATATTCTAGTGGAAAACCATAAGTTCAAAAGCAAATTTGGAAAGCAATTGGCAGATCTCTCTGTATATTCCAGTCAGCATGTTTCATCTCAAAGTATTCATGCAAAAATGTTTTCATCAGGAATAGAACACTAAGTTGTGAGACCAGATGACCTCCTTGCTCTTAGGTATGTGTACTCCTTTCACCAAAGAGGGTCAGTGTTGCAGTGTACACGTGGCCCAGTACAACTGATGATTTACACTAAAAAAGATAATTGTATCACAAGAGTACTTGCTGAGATTCTCCATCTACAATTAGATATTTAAAAAGTCTCATACTAAAAATACAAAGGATTTATATCATTTTTATTGCATCAAACTTAATTATTTAGGTAAATATTTATTAACTTCGCAGTGATCAGAATTGTTCATTCTAATTTACAAGCTTTTTCTGCTTTCTTCTTTATCCATATCTTATCTATCCCAAGCTGTGGAGATCTTGAGTTCTGCATTTTTTAAGCTAAATATCTAATTTATATCATCCTGTAATAGAATCATCATTTAAAACTACAAACTAAAGTCAGGGTAAGCAGTTTACATATCAGGCACATATGGGTGGGATACAGTACCTGAGCAGATTTAGTTAAATGATTACATGTCAAGTCCTGCGATGGTATGGAAGCAAATTTAAAATTGTTCTGATTATTATAGTTCATTATATTTTCTTTAGAAGTCCCCATGGACATAATCCCAGATATTTTCCCCAGGGTTGGTCAAGGTTCATGAAACATTTATGTGTGATTCAGCAGCTAGAACCACAGAACCAGTCTGTGGTTTGTTGAACATGCAGGAAATGTGTCTGTGCAGGATGTGGCAGGATTGTACCAAAATTCATTGAATAAATAGTTGAGGGTTGTGAATGGGACTGTCCTTCATTGGAATGTTAATCACACTTTTTATTGGCAAGTAGGAAAGAATGGTTTTAGAGTGGCTTGCCTATAAATGTGTCTTCTTCAGTGGGCTGCATTCAGAACTGTAGGCAGGATGAGGTGCCATCCACATCCTCTGTGGTGTTCAGATTGTGCAGCTGACTTTGGCCTCTGTGCTTGCCTCCATGTGGTTTCAGGGACAGGCCTTAGTGGGCTCCTGAATCCTTCAGGATAGATCTTTGTGTCACCTAAGAATCTGAACCTAGTTAGGCCTTGGGGTTATGTGGCCATTTATGACCATAGAAAACAGGTATTTATTTGGTTTATCAGAGAAATTTTTCTACTCAACTTGAAATAAGCAGCCTTAGTCTCAGAACTCTTTAAGGAGCAAGGACCTAGTTAACAGACTTGCCTTCTTTATGGGAGGAGGAACTCAAAAATAGCTTTGTTTACTAGCTGCCCAGCCCTTCACCTCCAGAGAAAAGAGCAGATTAAGGGCAGACAGTGGCCACTTGCTGCCTGTCTGCGTGGCCCAGGGCCCTTCAGGACTGTAGGAGGTTGCATGTTTCCATCCCATGTCCACAGGGATGTCCCTCAGTTTCTGCACCAATGAAGTGGACTTAATATCCTGAAATATATTCGGATGCTAAGAAGATTGCATTAATATAAGTGGAATTATGGCTGAGTTTTTCTTTTCAGTACCTTTGATATTTGCATTTTTGTTGTTTATAATGAGAATTTCTATTTAAAATAGTAATAAATTTTCTACTATAACCTGTTGTGAGGATTTAGGAAATTATATTTATATAATTGGTAAGAATTTTCATTATTCAAAGACATTGTATAAATTAAAGCTTCTACTTCGTTTCATCTTCATCTTGAGGAGAAATGAATTCTTTATCTTCTTTGAACCTTATACCTCTTTTTTGCTCCCAAATCAATGATTTAAGTATCAATTTAAATTAAAACCGACACCTTTTTTGGAGTAGTGAGATTCTTACTAACGTATTTATTTTAATTTTGTGTTTATCTTGACTAATTCTTACATTGAATAACCAGAGTGGCACATTGATAGGTTTATTATTATTATACCAACTTTTAAGTTCCAATTTATTTAGAAGAGCCCATCTCTAACATATAAAATCAGTCCATATTTTATTGGTATTGTGTTTATTCACTTAAACATCCTTTCCCATTTGAATCCCCATTGGTTACCTCTGGTCAGGAGTCTGACAGCCTTTCATATGTGCATAGTTCAGAATAAGTCATTTTATGCAGTGAATGTGCCAATGTTTTCAGGTATAGGTCATCTCTAGCAAAGCATCAAAGAATCCATACTGGAGAGAAACCTTAAAAATGTAATGAATATGTTAAGATCTTTAGTCAAATTTGATATCTTGTACACGGGAGCACTCAAAGCAGAGAAAAATCTTACAAATTCAGTGAGTGTAGCAAAGCTATTAGTGTGTGTTTAGGGCTAAGCATGTAATTCTTACTGGAAAACTATGGCAAGGTCTTCCTTCACAATTCCTAACTTAGAATTCATTGGAGATTTCATCCTGGAGAGAAAGTAGTGAATGAGGCAGAAGTATTCAGTGTTCGAGTCTTAGCAAACATTGTAGTATTCCCACTGGAAAGATAATTTTCATGTGTAATAAATGAGGCAATCCTTGAATTATCATTTAAGTCTTACTAGCCATAAGCTAATCCATAATGGAGAGAAACCTTACCAGTATATTGGATGTAACAGTCCCTTAAGGTGAAAATCTGACATTACTATTCACCAAAAAATTTACACAAGAAACACAAATGGAATGAGAGTCATGAATCTTTTAGTACGCATTCAATCCTAAGTACATCAGAAAGTGTATGTATATACATATATAAAAAACCTTAGAAAAATTAATCAATTTGGAAAATCCTATCTTCAGTGTTCACACTTCAGTATACATCAGATAACCCATACTGGAGAGAAACCACAGAAAAGTGATGAATGTGCACATCACACCTTGTGCTGGGAAATTTGTACATGACTGATATCTTAGAAATGCCATGAGGATGGCTAAAACTTCATGATGAATTCCAGCAATAATCAACATCCCAATTCCTACTAAAGAGCAACACCCTTAAAATTTACTAGGCACCAAGTGATATACTTTTGAGGAAGCCATACAAAGGTAGTTGTCATGTTAAGGTTATTAGCTGAGCATCAAGTCTGTGAAATAAAATAATTGAACTGTGGAGCAACCTTACAAATGTAATCAATATTGTGAGGTTTTTTTAATCAAATGTTCATTTTGTTATAAAAGGATTTGTTCTGGAGTGAAACCAGACAAAAAACCTTCACTTTTGCCAGGTGTGATGGTTCACGCCTGTAATCCCAGCACTTGGGACGCTAAGCCAGGATGATAGCCACAGTTTGAGGCCAGCCTAGGCTACATAGTTAAAAGTCACCCCAAGTGGGCCCTGTCTCAAATACAAAAAATGTTCATTCTTCAAAGATGTGTCCTTGAGATTCACTAATGAATTCATACTGCAGAGAACTCTTACAAATATAATACTGATATAAATTAACCAATTCTCACAATGTACTCCATATCATAGAATTTATATGAAGAATAAATAAGTATCCAAGGTAAAAAAAAAAAAAAGAATAAGTCATTTTAGAAGCAGAATCCTCAAAAAATTTTAAATTGCATTTCTAGATAAATTAGCTTACTAATATTGGAGTTATACTTTAAGTCCATAAAATTGGCAGTCCGTTGTCATATATTTAGAAAGAGCCTCCCAGAACCAATTAACAATGAGTACCAAGGTACTACCATATTGACTTTTAAAATTAAAATTATATTTAAATAAATTAAATATATTCCAATTTTCTAAATAAGACTCCTGCCTAGATAGGGATTCCACTTAGATTTTAGACTATACGGTACCTAGAACTTCTATAAAAACTAGACCTGTTGTCAGATCTGTCTACATTTCTGTTTGTTTTCATAGTATTTGAGGAAAATGAGCCATTCTTTAATAGTAATCTCAGCCGCACTTGTAATAGCAATAGCAATCTCAGTGTATATTCTAAGCAAATCACTAACCTCTGCAGGTTGTGGTTTGGTTCTTTATAATGGCAATCACCATCCCCCTTTGCCTTTGAAGGTTCTAAGTGATTAACTGAATTTTTTCAAATGCCGTTAGTAATTATCAGTGCTCTACAAATATATGATGAAGTTTTGTCTCTTTAAATTTTTCTTATTTTTAGTATTTTTCCAGTTTTAATTTTCAGAAAGAAATGAAGTATTATTTTGAAATTCCTCTCATTAAGGCTAAATTTTAGAAACCACAAGACCAGGAATTTCCTCACTTTGCATCATAGACACATTGGGAGGGCTGGTGGGGACTGCCCTTGACCCTGTGGTACAGGGTAGAATCAGAGAGCAGGCCTCAAGCGGCCATAGCAGCCCACCTTCTATACATTAATTATGGTGGTTAATATTTTTGCCTACCAGCCAGGCTAAGCCCCTTTTGTTTTTCTTTAGAGATTGTAATTTAATTGAAACCACCACAAGCTGTGACTGCCTTAACCACTGTAATTAAGCCCAGCTTCTGTGACATGAAAATTGTTTCCTGGATGAGAAGAATGGTCTGTGTTGGCCACTCCCTGAGGAGTGTACCCGTGAATAAGTACCCTGAAAACTGCAAAGATGCTCTGATGCCCCTGCTGGGGAACAGACCAGACATGCTCCATAGGGTTCTGGGAAATGTACTGAAATATTTGCTGGAGATAGAATGGCTTGCTTTTGACACAGAAATACCATTTTTGTGAAAATCATATTTCAGTTTGTGTGTAAACCTTTTGTCTACTGTCTGCTTTGCTCACAGTTCACTGGTTATGTACAACATTGCACTAGAAAATTCTTACTGCAATAGAAAACTTTTCTTAGATGTATCCCCATCTGTTGATCCTTAACCAACATCTGTCTCTGGTGAAATCCAATTTATGTGTAATTTTAATTCTTGGGAGAACTCTGAGCAGTAGAAGCTTGATTCCTCAAGATCCACTGAGAAAACATGCAAGATCTGAATACATGTAACGTGATTCATTAATCCTAGAAGTCTATTAAGTATCTCTACTTTCATGAGTAAAATTGAATGTTTTAAATCTTTTTTGACCCCCCTGATATTGTAATATTCCTACTTACTTGAGGTTATCAAGCTAACTTCAGCAGATACAAGAAAGGCTTTGACTTTGAGTCATCTTTCTGTTGCTCTGTGATCTGTATCTGATTAGCAAGAAAGCTAAAATAAAGGAGCAGTACTGCTGCAAAGTATGTAAAAGTTACTGTTGTATATATTTTAAATGCCTTGCCTAATTTGAAAATAAAGCTCTATTTATAGAATATATCACAAATATTTTCAATCCTTGTTTAATTTGGAAGCAAACACCACAACTTTTCTCTCTTACTGTTGTATCACTTGTAATCATTGTAAATTTTAAGCTCCATAGCTTAAAATTCTAGTTCAGGAATTCAGCGTATCAGAAAGCTGCTTCCTGACAGCAGTAGGCTGCCACAGGTCAATTCAGAATACTGAGCAGCCAAGTCTTGCATTCAGTTGAGGAAATAGGTGTTGTGCTTTCTTGCATGGTAGCTGTCAAACTGCTAACACATGGAGGCCTAGTCCTTCACCACACCTGTGCTGTGGTGAAGAAATTTACATAATAAACCTATTCAGGGATGTACTTTAATTCTAACTATACATCCCAGAAGCCACCTCTAGACCTTCGTTTAATGTCTAGTTGCAAAAAAAAAAGAAATGTAATGTACTTTTTGAGACATGTAAAGACATAATTAGAGCAAGTATTCTCCAGAGTTTATCAACAGTTTTGAAACAAAAATAAGCTAGAGGTTTGTGTTAACTTTCAGAAGCAGCCTATGTAGAATAGCGTAAAAGATGCATTAAGAGACTAGTGAAGAGGAGTGAGGATTAAACTTTAAAGTTTGTTTTTAGGTTAAGTCCTAAATTTCCCAAGTGAAAAGCTCTTCTTTGTATGCCATTATTGAGCACATGACACCACTTGAATATTAAAACTTTCCGAATGCCAGAATGATGTATAACTTACAGAATAAGCTGTTACTCAGTAGTTGAAATCTTGGCACAGGATTTCTTTGTCCTATTTGTATAAGACACACTGGATATTCTGCTTTTCTTTAGTAATGGATTAAAAGTCTTTGATGGTGGAAAGGGTTTGACCTGCTTGAACTAAGGGGTTACTCCTTGCCATTTGCTAGTAACCAAAAACGTGTGCTTCTTTTCCACCTGTTCTTCCGTGTATTTTTAATTGTATGCACTGTCTCTTTCTGTTCTAATGGCTGCCCTCGGAATAGGCTGATCTCTGCTCTCCGTTTGACATCCTGCAGTTGGATTTTCGTCACATTCAAAAGACTGTTGACACTCTGCTGGCACTCGGGGAGAAACCCCCACAATCAACTTCTGCCCTCCGCACCAGGGACCTTATAGGCTTCTGTCTTGTCCATGTTCTCTTTATAGTGCTGATCTGTATCACTTACCACTGGAATGCTCTGTCCGCCTAACGTCTGCATGTGCATCCAAATGCTCTGCTCTGGCTCCCTGGTCCATTACAGGCTCCTTGCTCCATTTGAGCCTTGCCTTGCACACTCCCATCCATCATCTCTTCAGTCCTCTCTTGACTTTTGAAGCTGAATATTTACAAACCAGATTTTTCCAGAAGCACAAACTTTGTAGAATGCAGTTCATATTCTGTAATTTCTCTCCCTCACTAAAAAACAACAGTAATAACAAAATGTGCCCATACCTCATTCTCCATCCTCCAGTGTCAGCAGCAGTGTCATACGGGTCCTCTTCCCTGTCCCATGAGCTTCTGCTGCGCTGAGCAAGGAGAAGAGAGCTCCAGGACAGGAACAGATGAGATATAGCACATGGAAACCAAACCACTTAGCTCCATTCCTTATTTGGGGCTGGGCATTTGAAGTAAGCATTTGCATTACCTTGCGAAGGAGGCAAGAAACTAACATGTCCCAATTTGATCTATAAAAATCTTTGATGATACCACTGTTGACCAAATTGAAAGTATGATCTGGAGGGTGAGTGCTAGCTGGCCATTTAGTTGAATTCCTCCCGTTTTCCTTCAAAGGGATCACCGACAAGGACCAGGGAGGGCCACCACCGACTTGCTCTCTCCTAGGCAGGAGTACTCTAAGGAGGGAGGTGCCTTCCTGCTAAAGTGCCACCTGGAGGAATCGCTTACACACCCATTTCTGTATATTTGTGCTTCTTCCTTGTTAGGTCTACCCTGATACTCTAAATAAAGCACTTTCCAGAAGTGATTTCTATTTTTGAATAAAGTAATGGATCATTTTGCTTTTTGCTACATCACATAGTAACTGCAGGTCCAGAATATGATGGACTGTATGCATTTTCAAATAAAGCCATGAGTCATGGAACATTCTTGGTCCTGGGGTTTGGGTTACTATGGCAGGAGCCAATAATAAGATTGCTTTTATTTTAGAAAAATGTACTTTCTCTAATTACTTGAAATTTCCATTTAACCTTTGATTTCCAGTGATACTAGCTAGCAAACTGCTTTATTTTTAAATTAGATTAAAGTTATGTATCAGCTATCTCCACTTTTGGAGCAATGTGACGAATTTGAAAAGTTAGAATCTTACCTAACCCAAGATATTTCTGGATTTGGGGATGTCTACAATATAAGAAGACCCTGCTCCAGGGTCCAGGGTCAAGCCAGTCTCTATCCTTCATTTTATGATGTTCCTTAGGTTGGGAGGATGATGGAGTTAATTTCCTCAGTATAAATTATTAGTTTACTGAGGTGCAAACACACGTCAGACATGGCTACTAAGATGTTAATCTTATTTTTCTGAACATTTTCATGAATCCAGGGAATTTGAGATTATTTGAAAATCCCACATATAGTTAAAATAATATATTTATATAAGATTTCTTGCTGCTAAATCAGATAAGATTTTTTAACAGGAAGCATTCTTTCTATGATAATGTGTTATCTGAGCTTTTTCCTCCTGTCTTAATGGTGATTAGTGAAATACAGGGTATGTAGAAGTTATTTAACCTCAGTTGTATTTATATAACCCACATATGTACAGTACTGAATTGCCTTTGGTGCTATCTTGTACTCGTCAATCTGTAACAATAAAATCCCTTTGTACAATGTCTGATGAGCACCCTGAGACATAAGTTGCTTAATAAACATGTTTTGGATGATTACAGTTTTATTGGCCCATTGATATATTTATTCACTGCACCCAGAGTAGCATTTCCACCCAGGTCTGCCATGCATAGAGGCTTCCTTTTAATGGTCACCATTGTTGGGTTTCCCCACTTCTTTATGAGTGGAAATGGGGAGAAAGAGTGAGCTTAACAGGGTTGCCACCTGAAAGAAAATACTAGAAATAAAAACTGAGTAGAAAACCACGTAAGGTTAAATTTTCAGGTTGAAGTGATATAGTTCTCTAGCTATGTTTATATGTCAATTCTGGCATCCACAGGACTCTTTGGGCACATTTTCATTTTTCATGTCACTGATCTATCTGTATGCTAATGTGCTGCAGTTCTTGGGATTTGCTGGATGCTGTTTTTCCATTAAGTAGTATGGTAACTAACAGAACACAATTAATTCTGCCCTTTAGGCCAAACTGTGAGTGAACTGCTCTGCCCATTTCCAAGCCATTAATTTCTGTTCAGAATAATAAGTCTCTCTAAGGTTCTTCTTCAAGGTACCCATGCACCAGTTCATGCACCAGTGTGGTGCCACCTTTGCAGCCTGACTGGGGACAGCTGCTGACCTAATATAAAGGCTGAGAGTTGGCAGAGGATTCAGTTATACAGCTTACTATGCATACAAAGTCTCCATCTTCTCACAAAAAAATACCATTGTATCAGTACTTCCTTCTAATACCTGATATAAAGAGAGAACTATTGATTGACAGTTTCTTTTTGACATAGCCGTCTGTGTTCTCTTTCTCGACGTCCTCCAGTTGGTGGCAACTCTCCATTCAGTGTCGGGAGTTCCTAAATTTGTGACAACTTTTTTCTACTACTTCTTTTGCTTTATGGACCTCTGGTTCATATGCACTTCATTTTCCTTAGTGAGAGACACTCAGGAAATGAGGCTGGTGAAGGAATCCCAAAGACAGCAGAGTTTTTGTCAATGAAGAGTAGATAAAGGCAGTTTGTATCTTGATGCTATTTGTTTGTTTACAATTTTTAATTAATTTATCTTTAAAGCCCACATCAGTCACAGTGTGAGTCATATCAGGATGAAGGGTGTTTCACTCATGGGGAAAAGTGGAGATGATATTATTACTAGGGATTGAACCTAGAGCTCTGCTGTGCACATGCCAAGCACATGCTCTATCATTGAGCTGCAGCCCTAACCCTTGATAAATTTTCTAGTATGATTTTATTTTAGGAGATTTTTCTTTTAAAATTAGGCTTCAGACTTTAAAATTAGTTTTCAATAAATAATTGATTTATTATACAGAATGTATGTGTGCTTTATTCTCCAAGACTGTTAAGGTTCAGTTCTTTGACTGTTTATAGTAACTGTTAGGTCTTATGTTTGGTTAATTCCTCAAATACTGAGTGAGCCCTCTGTGAAAGGTACCACCAGAGGCCTTGATTATGGTCCAGGCCTTATCCTCAAAAATCTTACAGTCTGTACCAGGGCTCAGCAAGCTTTATCTAGAAAGGACCATATAGTAAATATTTTAAGCTTTTTAGGCCATATGATTTCTGTTATTGATACTGAGCTTACCTTTGTAACTACAACCACAGACAATACATAAACCAATGGGTGTGGCTGTGTGCTAGTAAAATTATTGACAAACAGTCTGTGCTTTGGATTATCCTGCAGGTCATAGGTTATGAACCTCTGATCTCTTGGATCCATAGAAAAGGAATACAGTGGATAAGGACCTGGGATGGATCAGGTGCAGCATTCTGCAAAACACAGGGAAAGGAAATGTGACCCTGATGGGGTGTGAGGGACCATACGGGCTCCCTGTGATGGTGATGTGTACATTAAGACTTAGAAGATATGTGGGAATAGTCACATAAATGGCAGAGGGGAAGGAGGAGGACAATGAAGGTATAGGTGTGGGCAGAGAATAAGATTTTCTGGGGAGAGCAAAGACTACAGGTTGGCCTGGCTACAAGGTAGGGGGAGGATTGACAAGAAAGTCTTCTGTATCTGTAAGAGGTTGACATGTTCGCCATTTTACACTGGAAGAAACTGTCCATTAGTGGCTGAAATAGAGCTTAAAACTCCCCTATATTAAAATAATGCATGGGTAGTTTTAAGGTTCAACTAATTTAGTCCCAAAATTTTACATTTAAGAAACAGACTGAACAAAAGGAAATATGGTGGCATGAATGGCCTTAGTTTAGTCTAGTGGCTGGCCTGAAAGTAGGATGTGGCTCTTCAGGAGCATAAGAAACTGTAGGAAGAAGAGGGCCAGGTAGTGACAGCAGTTCAGCCCACTCCCTCAATGTGCTATCTGCAGGATGACATGTCTGTCCCTCACCACAAGGACAAGCCAAAGGAGCTATGTGGCAGAGCTTCCTAATGCCTTTGCTGACTTGAGGGTTCTCTGGTCCCTCCTGATGTGGTGGATGGGACTTGCCATCAAAGAATTCAAGGTGGTGACTACAGACTGAACATCCTCACTAGTGACTTAGAGGTTTTATAGGATGTCACATGATTTGTTGGAAAAGCCCTGGCTGTAAGATTCAGGTCTTCCCACCTGTGATACATGAGCAAGATCACTTGCACTCTCTGTCTCAGTTTTCTCATCTGTGAAGTAGAGATCTTCATGTCGACTTTGCAGGATTCTCAGAAAGAAGTAGTCAATACACATCTGTAGCACTAGTGCCAGGCATACAGGAGATAACCCAGAAACCTTTCACAGTTAGCATTTAGTCCTTTATTGCTTGCCTCCCTATTCTAACCTTGTTGCTGTGGCTCAGAGGAGGGGTGCATGAGGGGATGTGAGTGAACCTGATTGATTCCACCCCTGGAGAAATAGCACAAGGCATTAGTTCTTCAAAGGGAGTCAGAAGTGTTGTTTTTACGCAGGATGCTACTTTATGACTCCACTCTGTGCTTTAAAAAGACAACAAAAGAAATACTCCGCTCTGTGCTTTAACTCCCTACACACACACACAAATACACACACACACACACACCAGTGGAAGCCCATGTGTATACTAGGTGCCTGCTGCTGCATTCTCAACAAAATCTCTAGACTCCTGTAAGAGTACAGTTTAAGTCCATGTAAAGTCAGTGTACATGGACAGCTATCTCTGCTTGAAGTTCATTATGTACAACAAGTCTTCTAGTGGGTCCACCTCACCTGCCTCAACCTTCAAAGTCCCTTCTCTTCGGTGTCATTCCTCATCGTGCAATAAATCTACAGTAATTCCATCCCTAGTCCAGCCTCTGAGCTCACTTCAGGGAGATGCACTGGGGGAGAAGGAATGGCAAGACTAGTGTGATGGAAAATGGTCTTGACCACTCCTCGGGTCCCTTACTCCCCAGCCCTGCAGATACCCCTGTTCATCCTTCCAGCATGTACTCAGTCTTCATCACAGACCTGTGACAGAGTAGTCAGAACTGCCATGTTTTTAAAATAAGGTTTCTGTTCTTTTATACTAGTCTACTTAAGTACCTCCACCTCATCAGAGTATTTCCAGGCCACCTCTGGGTCCCTTTGGGGGATCTGAATGAAAAGAGAAAGACAGGAAGGATGTGAGGGAACCTTTTTGTTCCTTTTTATTTACATATAGTCCCCAACTTGCAATGGTTAAGCTGAAAAATTTTCTCAACTTTTAAGATTGTGCAAGTTTTTCACTTTCATTATTCAATAAATTTTATGAGCTATTCAACACTGTTTTAAAATAAGATTTGTGTTAGATGATTTTACCCAGCTGTAGGCCAAAGTAAGTGTTCTGGGAATGTTTTAGGTGGGCTAGCTGAGCTATGGTGTGTGGTAGGCTAGGTGTATTTTGGGCCTAAAGGAGTTGATCAGGATGTTACCCCATCATAAGCTGAGGAGCATCTGTGCTCCTCCTGACCAGCTGGAGAAGGGAAGGGAGCATCCTGTACCTCGGTTCCTCCTTTAGGAGTACAGGGGTCAGGAAGGTGAGAAATACTGGTTGGGAAAACACTGGCTTTGGAGAGGGTGACCCTAACCTACCTCAGTCTGGGAAGTGTCCAATGTCCTGTTGGTAGTAGGCTCTTCCCAGTCCTGCCCCTCTGGAGCCCCAATCCACCCTTCCACGACAACTAGCTGTAGAACCAGTGCTCATCTGTGAGACCGGGCCGGTCCCTAACTGGAGGAGTCAGGCTACTCTCTTATCCCACCAGCCATGCTCAACACAGATTGAGCTCCAGGGAATTCTGAGTCCTAGAATTCAGGCCTATTTCAGACTAAACATAAGGTAACACTGTGTTTGGGAAGCAGAATGTCATATTCTATTGCTTTCTGCAAATAACTTCATTTTAAAATTTCTATTCATGTTCCTCTCAGTGTCTGATCACTTACAGATTTGTTGAGTTTGTGTGTCATATAAAGCCCTTTGTAATTTGATGCAAATACTTTTATAGCTTGTTATTTTTTTCATTTTGGATTTTTGGATACATGGAACCTTTAAATTTTTAGACAATCAGTGCTTTTATGTATATGTATGTGTGTGTGTGTGTGTGTGTATATATATATATAATTTTTCTTAGCTCAGAAAATCTTTATCGACTTGCCTTTATTCACCATTATTGGGAGGAATGTGTTGGGGTTTTTTTTCTTTTACAACTAACTCTTTAATTTTCAATTGATTGTAGCCTGTGGTATGAAGTGAAGACTTTTTTCCCAAATGATAGCTGGCAGTAGGAATTTAATTGTACTTAGTAGCCATTTATAATTTGCTACCAACCTGGATATTGCCTTGGGTACTATGAAAGCCATAAGAGTGAGGAAGACATGGGCCAGGGATTTATCTCAGTGCTTTCATCGCCTGCTGTGCAAGCACAAGAACCCGCGTTCAATCCCCAGTACCAAAAAAAAAAAAAAAGAGGAAGACATGTGTCTGCCTCTGTGCAACCAGTCTTAGCAAAGAAATGACAGCGCCAGGTGATTTCCCAAGCCTGTGGCAGAGAGCAGCAGGAAAACATGGACACTCACTGTGCCACAAAGAAGAGTCAGCCTCCATCCCATGCTCATGCTTCCCACTCATAAAACCTCCATCCTTTCTCATGTTGATATTTGGCCACGGAATTGGCAAGCGGCATAAACTGTATCCTTGCCTGATAAGCCACTAACAAGATCATCCTATTTTGATACACCATAGCTACATGAAATCTTGGTTTAGATTGTTCTTTAAAGAATCAGTTGTCTTATGTTGACAGGTGGCCACTTCTTAAGGCTTGGGGTCCAAGTCTGAGATTCTCAGTATTTAACACAAATTAGGGAAGCCTAGGGCTAGGAGGATGGTGAGAACATGCAGAATCCACTGACATTGGGAGACGGTGTTAAAAGTGATTGGAGATGCCAGGCATGCCTTTGAAGAGCTTCTTATGTCCAGAATGTGTATGTCTGTGCTGCTTTGTGGAGAGTCTGGCACTGAAGCGGCAGCAGGAGGGTCCTTTGGAAGAAGGCAGGTCCGTGCAGAACACTTGGCTTCATGCCAGACAGACACCTGTGCTGATGTAGATCCCCCTGAAACCCTCCTGGAAGGCAGTACCATTCAGTCTTAAAGAAAAATGAATTCCTGTCACTTGTCACACTGTGGATAAACCTAGAGGACATTATCTTATGTCAAAATAAGCCAAGCAAAGAAAGATTATTCCATGATCTCATTTACATGGTGAATCTAAAAAGGCTGAAGTTTTAGAAGTTGAGAGTAGAATGGAGGTTACCAGGGAGTAGGGAGAAGGGCTTGAGATGGTGGTGAAAACATGAAATTTTGGTTGGATAGGAAGAATAATCCCTAGAGATCCCTTGTACAAAATGATGGCTATAGTTAATGTATACTGGAATATTGCTGGGCTAAGGGTATAGCTCAGTGGTAGAGCACTTGCCTAGCATGCTCAAGGCTTAGGTTCTCTATCCCTCAACACTGGAAAAATAAAAACTATGTGAGGTAATGCATTTGTTAATTAACCTGGTTTAGTTATTCCACTATAGATACTTATATCAAAACATCATGCTTTACTGTAAATATACCAAATTTATATTTGTCAATCTAAAAAGGAAAAGAAAACAGTGACCACTGGGCTATGGAGAACACACGAGTGGATAGGAGAGAACATAAAC